GCTACTCACAATTGCCATCTGATAGTTATAGTATTCACATTTTACATAAGAATGCATGCGGCCAAAAATACAAAAACCGCTACGCTTTCATATTTCCAAAATAAAAAGCAATGAGATAAATAAATTATAACGTTGTATAATAAACTAATTATTTACTTGATATGTTGTCATCAATGAATTCGTCTATTCTGTAATAGGCTTTCTTATACAAAAATTGTTTAATATAAGATTTGAATTGCCTCTCTGTCAGATTTAGTGCATTTCTAGCAGTTTATTATAAAATCTTACGCAATTACCATAGAATGAATTACTGACTTTGTTCAGACGACATTTAGGTAAAATTAGCTTATTTTTATTGCGTAAGTCTCTACTTGTACAGTCTTTAAGTTTTTTAAAACTCTCTAAATTCTTCCGTGTATACATGATATTTTCATAAATGTACCTATTGTGAAGTAACGGTGAGCTTTTTGGTAAGATCTGGGCGATCAAAAACTTTTTTCCAATGGTGTATCGTTTATATTTAGATACTATTCCAAAACATCCCTGTCCAATCTGTATTTTCAAAAAATAGTTCACAGGGAGAGTGGTTGGAATATCGAGGTTTCTCCGTGAATCTGAAGACACTTCTACACTTTGGAAGGAGCTCGGCTGGCTTTATAAGACTCGTAGAGCCGAGTCTTATAAAGCCAGCCGAGCTCACAACGGCCCATATCAGAGACTAAATGCAGAAAATACTGTATGTTACAAACTTGTGCCCATTGATTTCTACGCATTTCTCTCTTTTTTTATATAGTATAGGGGACAAATAAGTTTACGGATCACCTGATGGGAAGTGATTTCCGCCGCCCACCTGCACCCGCAACACCAGGGGAATTGCAATTGCGTTGCCAGCCTTTTAAGAAGAAGTAAACTCTTTTCTTGAAGGTTTTAATAACGTATCGGTTTGGAAATACCATTCCTGGAAGATAATTCTACAAAAATCATCTGGATAACATCGTGGTATACAATATCATAGCTGACTGACCTAACTTCATGCTTATCATATTGTCGTCAACTGGTGTCCCGCCAGCGTATACCGTTAGTACAAGCCGGTACACAATTTATGGAATTGTGATTAAAAAAATTAATCATTAAAAAAAAAGAGTCTAGCCAGACTGAACACGCGGAGTTAATACCATGCGACGTGACGTCACAGTTCCTGAGTGTCACGTTACAGGAGCGGACACGACATCCGACACTTCCGTTTCCGAACGATCTACTTTCCGACAGGTGAAGTGATCGATACAGTATTTTACTCGTAAAATAATAGCGCCAAATTTTTATAAGACTGTTGTATTTATTATAGATAAAATATCATTGAGATAAACTTTGTAAAAAGTCGTCTGCATAGGTACCTATCTCAGTTTCACTACTGAAGCTGCCATGCATCTATCTTTGTAAACTATGTTCCAGTTAAAGGGCGAAGATAAGACAGTGAAATTACCGGATATAACGGTATAAGATTTTAAACCCCGGAATGACAACATATTGATAACGGATATTAAACCTTGTGCTGTATGTTTTAGTATCGTATCGGTATTCGAAAGTAACTTTGCTGGAAGGTGGATTGCAGAATCACCACAATGTGGAATTTTACAAACTCTTAAATAGTCCGCAAATATTTAAAAATTAGTACATATTTAATTGTTAATGACATCGCTACATATGTAGAATGATAAGTAGTACGTCCATGAATATTACACCCTTGAATAGCTTACTACCCAAGAGATCGTGAATTCTAATCTGTCCAACATCAAACAAAAAAGACTTTGTTTATGATACTTTTGACTGACTTTCCAGTGAAGGTAACACCGATATCAAACCGGAAATAACCCGACAGTTGGCGGCAAATTCAAATATACCGAAAGAAATGTGGGTATGTTGCGTTCATCACATCATTGACAGTTGCTATTACCTCTGACTACCCGAATTGGGATAATAGTCATATATCATTATCATTTATAAAAAAAAAAACATACCGTATGTTGTTGTTATTTTTTTATTATAAATGAGTTTACGCCTGGTCTTACCTCATCTGATGGAAAATGATGGCAAGACCCAGGATGTAGCGCGCTTACCCAGAAGAAATCAATGCACCATAGATTTGTAAAATCCGGGGTTGTATTTCTTCCGGGAACACATAACCTGGTAGTCTCTTCCACTCTTTGCCCAGAATATACCTATTTGCCATAGACTTGAGGGTAGTATTTCTATGGGAACACGTAACCTGGAGGTCTGTTCCACTCTTTGGCAGAGCGTATTAGAAAAGACGACGGGAACCGCTCAATGCGAATGTGTGGAATTTACGCAACTAAGATGAAATAGTTATTTAATTATATATGAAAAAAACTGATACATACGTCGTGGGAGGTAAGACCACCTGCAGACTGTCCCCATCTCGCAGGCATCGCTGTTCAGTGAACTTCAGCGCTCCAAGTGGACTGTTGGCATGCGTAACCCGTTCCTCATTTCGCACGGTGTCACTTGTGCCGAAAAAAACTTTCGCACGATCATTTTTAGCCTGTTTTTGTTTGTTATCGTAGTTTGTTGGCTTCATGGCGATGTTGTGACGTGTAGGATAGAGAAGGATACAAATACCACCTGTATTTGGCGAATCAAACTCAATAGTTTTTACTATAAATATTACTATAATATGTAATAAAAAAATATATATTACGCTTACAGGGAATTATGGGTAGAGATAGAGGAAAGAAAACAGAAGGAAGAGGAAATATGGATAGGACGTAGCATGTGACGAAACAAACTATGTTAAAGAAGAATTTATTTTTGTTATAGAGAAATATTGGGTACGAAACGAAAATCATATATTATTAAATTTTATACATTTGTTCGTCTAAATGCTAAAAATATACATAGAAAACACCCAGACCGATACAAACAATCATAAGCTCTAACCCGCAAAATACCAAGGCGGTCATATATGAGCTTATTTGTTTATTATTAGCTATTCCCGCGACTTCGTCCGCGTGGAATTTAACTTTATTTTTCTAAAATAAAAGTAGCCTAAGTTACTCCTTATTCTATCAGCTACCTGCCAAAAAAAGTTCCGTCAAAATCGGTCCAGCCATTTCAGATCTTAGCCGGAACAAACAGACAGACAGACAAAAATTGTAAATAATGTTATTTTGGTGTATATACCGAATTTTTTTATTATGAATGTAGTAAAAAAAGATTATTTTACAAACAGACGCTCCAATTTTATTTATATGTATAGGTATACTTTGCGTGATTTAGAAGCTGATGCAGATTGTAGCTAGTTCATACATAATTTAAGAGCCGCGCTCTTATCGGTGCAGTTCTTGCCATTTTCCATCAATTTCTTTAGTTGCTGATACGACACGACTCCAACTTTTGCGTTCATTAAACTTAACTTTTAATTTCTAAAATCATTTTAAAAAGACACAATCAATCGATTCAATAAAGTATATCGATTTACAACATGTATCATTCGTTTAACATAACGTGAGACATCCAGTCTGCATGTTCCACACGCTTCATTACCGCTACCTGGGTGGCCGAACGCCGTGCGTTACCCGCCGTTCACTTAATCGATATTGATATTTGTATCAAGTTAATTCAAAGATACGTCCCCCTACGACAGTCTGCACAACTAAATATGAGAGGAACTTATAATAATTATTACTCTGTAGAATTCATACAGCGCCATCTAGTCCCAAGTAAGATGATCTTTTATCATGGGTACCATACAATTGATAGAAATACTTAGATACATTTTCTGTAAACGCATATTAAAATTCAAATTCAATATATCTTTATTCATGTAAGTCTATTCAGACTACGTCAAATCTACCGTCAGTTCGGAATGATTTCGAGATGAGAAGAACTGAAAAGAAACTCAGCTCGTATTTCTTTCAAATTCATACAAAATATACCTACAAAGAAAACACTCAGACAAATACAAACAATCATATTTGTTGCAGATAGTCTAGACGCCGAGGAATCGAAGGCTACTTTTTAATGCGTAAAAACCGTTACTTCAAAATGGAAATCGGTTATCTTTAGCGGTTGAATACTTATTCGTCATCTTTACATTTCACTAGCTAACAACCAATCAACACATTGTTTGGGTCCATTCGCCATCTTTTCATTTCACTAGGTAACAACCAATCAACACATTGCGTTTAAACATATTAAAAATAAACATAATGTATTGATCTTGCCGAAAACATGACGTTGATTTAGCGAAAATATTGTTTTTTGAACTTTTATGATAAAATCGTATATCGTGTGTATGTTATTTCTTTAAACCTGAAATTGTTAAATTTGGAGATTTTTTTTATTAATTGTTTTACCTATAATATATAATAATAATAATAGGTTTCACAATATCAATAGGAAATACAAGTATCAAATAATAATAAATGTCAAATGTTGTTTCTCTGCCTCAACTTATTAAAAAAAAGCTTAATAACAATTGATTCTTACATTTTATTATTTACATTTTTTGTGCATGGTAGAAAAATACTTAAAATATCCTGACCTATTTATACAGTATTCAATGTGTTAGATAAGATCTACACAGAAATAATAACAATGATCAATTACAATACATTACTTATCAAAATAGTATCGGATTTTTCGCTAAAATAAAAACTGACCGCTTTTTTATAAAACAAATGACTTTTTCATTGGCTACATCGATATTAGGTGACAACTATTTAAATTATTCATGTTTTTTTTTAGTCAAAATGTTGGATTGTAGATTAAAACAGTAAAATTATGTTTGTACGAGAAACGATAAAAATATAGTTTAGTAGCCAACACCCGTGTGGAAGGGCTCTCCAACGAAATGATGAGTTAATTTTTTAATCGTAGTCTAGAGCCATGAGAACGGACATGCCTTTAATGTAAAGGGGTTGTAATTTAATTAGTGGGACATCGGTGTTTTGTTGTACAGTGATTTCTGTGATGTTTAAAAAGTATTTTATAACTTTTATTGGTTTAATTGGATGTCAATTTGGATTATTGATTCATAAGTTGGTAAGTAAACATTAGTTTTTCGCGTGATAACAGTTCGAGCTAATATTTATTCTAATTCAATTAAATAGTGACAGTTAACATTAACAATATCTGTTGTAGGAATAACGTCACTGCTTTTTATATAAATAACGTATGACATACGGTTTTCAAAATAAGAAATTTGGTTTAGGTACAATATAAGGACTTTATATAGGTGTAAAGATAGGTAAAAAGAAACGTTTACCTAAACCAAATAAAAAAACTGCGAATACTCATATAGAATAATATTTAATCTTCAGTTTGATATTCTTAAATCATAAAATATAATTTATAATGCCTAAAAGGATATAAAGAATATAACTATAACGTGCTATCACATGCTCAGTGAATCTGACTAAGTAAGTACTCGTACCTAATTTTTAAGTTTTTAATCGACTTAGACAATCTGTTCCCAAATCTACTACTTTTATAATCAATTTGATATTTTAGATAATTTTGCAGCTATATTATGCAATCGATAGGATAAAATCCGATTCTATTACGATTGTACATGAATATTTATGATAATTTCTGAAATTAGTTGCGAACATTCCAGAGTCCTCTCTATACTGTTTCCGCTTCAGGCAGCCGACGACAAATTATAAAACATTCTTGTTTATATAATATATGCGATAGTAAAGTTTAAATTTTGAATAAAAAATTTTAATTTCATATACAAATGCGTGTAGGAGTTATGATGTCAGTTTGTGATGTCATTCTCATCGGCTAGCGAAATTATAATGATTTTAGATAACTTATTTTAAAAATAAAATAACCATTCTTTGCCAAATACTTATCTATTTACCTATATTATAAAAATTAACTAAGATAATAAGGCATCTATGAGCTCCAATAATCTTCACGCAAAGTCGTCTGCGTGGAAATATCTGATCTTACCTATTTCTGCCATCTCAGCTTTATTCTGTGACCTCTCAAAAGCATTTGATTGCGTTGATCATGAAACACTCTTACTCAAATAAAGAATATAACTTACGGTATTAGATTTATGAAGCACTATGCATGATGAAATACTTTTTATCTAAATAATAGAATGCAAGTTGTCATATATATTGAAATAAATGGTGTAAAGTCTTTTTTAGGGAACTAGTGATTAAAATGGGTGTTTTTTAGGGCTTTTTCTAGGTCCTTTCTTATTTTTATTGTGTTACATAAACGATCTTCCTTATATGGTAGAAAAGATAGCTGACATAGTTCTGTTTGCTGATGATACTTCATTAGTATTCAAAGTCAATCGACATATTGATGATATGGACGAAGTAAACGGTTCTCTCTCTTATGTTTTAAAATGGTTTACGGCAAATAATATGCTACTAAATGCGTATTTTAAACATATAAAACTAAATGTATCAAATTTGATTTCCCAATGTAATGCGCCGGTAGATTCAAAAATCGTATTGGACAATAAATAATATATTAATTTTGTTGACAATATGTATTTCAAAAATAAAAAGGAAATCACATTAGATTCTAAAGTTGATTCTACAATGTAATCTTGTGCATGGTAGAAAAATACTTAAAATATCCTGACCTATTTATACAGTATTCAATTTTAGATAAGATCTACAGGGATGTAATAACAATGATCAATTACACCACATTACTTATCAAAATAGTATCGGATGCCGCTAAACGGCTGACCGCAAAAACAAAGCCCCGCATGGCTACTCGATATTTAGCTATTTCCATAGCATTATGTCATGTATTTTTTTAGTGGGGCAAAGCAATTGATATAAATACAATATTTAGTTTTACACACCCGCGTGGAAGGGCTCTCCAACGAAATGATGAGTTAATTTTTTAATCGTACTACTGCCATGGCGCATGCCTCTAATGTAAACTGTAATTTAATTAGTGGACATCGGTGTTTTGTTGTACAGTGATTTCTGTGATGTTTAAAAAGTATTTTATAACTTTTATTGGTTTAATTGGATGTCAATTTGGATTATTGAATATAGTAAACATTAGTTTTTAGCGTGATAACAGTTCGAGCTAATATTTATTCTAATTCAATTAAATAGTGACAGTTAACATTAACAATATCTGTTGTAGGAATAACGTCACTGCTTTTTTATTAGTAACGTAGGTACGGTTTTCAAAATAAGAATTTTGGTTTAGGTACAATATAAGGACTTTATATAGGTGTAGATAGGTAGAAACGTTTACCTAAACCAAATAAAAAAACTGCGAATACTCATATAGAATAATATTTAATCTTCATGATATTCTTAAATCATAAAATCTAATTTATAATGCCTAAAAGGATATAAAAAATATAACTATAACGTAGTGATCACATGCTCAGTGAATCTGACTAAGTAGGTACTCGTACCTAATTTTTAAGTTTTTAATCGACTTAGACAATCTGTTCCCAAATCTACTACTTTTATAATCAATTTGATATTTTTGATAAATCTATATTATGCAATCGATAGGAAAATATTTTATTACGATTACATGAATATTTATGATAATTTGAGTTGCGAACATTCCAGAGTCCTCTCTATATGTTGATTATCAGGCAGCCGACGACAAATTATAAAATATTCTTTTATATAATATAATTAGTTTATATGAATACAAAATTTGACATTTCATTACAAAAGGAGTTAACACACAGTTTGTGACGTCATTCTCATCGGTAGCGAAATTATAATGATTTTAGATAACTTATTTTAAAAATAAAATAACCATTCTTTGCCAAATACTTATTTATTTACCTATATTATAAAAATTAACTAATATAATAAGGCACCTATGAGCTCCAATAATCTTCACGCAAAGTCGTCTGAATAAAATATTATTTACCTATTTCTGCCATCTCAGCTTTACAAGTTGTCTGAGTTAAACGGTAAGATATAGACACGAACGTGCACAATGTAGCAGTAAACTATGTTACTATAGTAGTCATTCATATTGCGGTAATACTAATAATAATTACTAATACCACAGATAACATAATATTACACTAATAATAATTACTAATACTAATAATAATTACTAATACTAGTAATAATAATAATTAATGTAGAAAACATTAATTGTAAATAATACAAGATCCAGTTTTGATCTATACATACTTGGCTCTACATGATATCGATACCAAGTCTGACGTTCTACTGAGTATTTTCTATCTTTCTTTAAGTGGTAAATTGGCTGTCTTAGTCAGAGATTGTCCATAGCACGGATAGATGATAGATAGACGGTAGGTACACTGATAGTCTTGTCAGATTTAGCTCTATGTTAGATGAGATCTGTACTGTATTTTTTGTAGTGGTATTCTTGAGTAACATGACTGATTTAATCTTACATAGATCGGATCTTATGTAGGTAAAGATAAGTCTAGTGGATAGATATTTTTATATAGGTATTTGAAATAAGAAACTCCCCGATACTAGTGGTATCCTATATACATACCTATTTACAAGAACAGCAAGACACCCGTGATATTACTCTATATGAACAGCACTACGGATATCACGTTATCACATCAGTAGTAATAGCTCTCACGCGTTTCCAAACCAGAGAAATAAGATGTCATGCGTCGTATCCTATATTTTCATTGCTTAATCTGCACCCTACAACCGATTGCTTACAAAGCAAACAGTGTGGCTAATGTGTGTGAAATAGGTAAGACTGGGTATCTATCATGCATTGAATCACTATTTTGTATACAGGTACAATCAGTATACAGACTTATGGCAATAATAAATGGCAAGAAACTCAACTGTTTTTTTTAATGCCAGTTTGTTTACTTATATTTTCTAAGAATAAATGAAAATACCGTGCATGAACAACTATTGCCATGCACATTTGTCATTTAAGCAATTCAGGCTAAACAGAACTCTCTTACTAGAAAATAGATTATTTTTTTTGTAAATCGATACATAATAGACCGACTCCCTAACAACATGCTGCCCACTTTCATGAAAGAGGACTACTGGCTTTAGGGGGTGATCTGTCGGCGCTACCGTGGCAGATTGCCGTCGTCAGTGTCGTGATCACACAGACAATATCAATATCTTAGTTTTAAAATATTATTTCATATGTATGTTAATCTATAAATTATTCTTAGATGCCTGAAATAAATAAATAAATAATGTACACATAAAACATCTAGACATATAATCAAACAATCAAACTCGTAAATACAAATCATATGTACCGTACGGGTAATCGAACCCGCGACCATCGGAAGTAAGGTGATATGGTAAACAGCTAGACCACTGAGGCCGTTAAAAAGAATAACTCAACATCGTTGTTGTAAAAGAAAGGGGTAGACGGAGTAGAATGCTTGTTTCCCACCTACGTAGTATAAAAAAAATAGAAAATGGGAAGATGATATTAGGAGGCCAGTATGAACTCGCAAAGCAAAGGATAGCTATGGAAATCTTTAGAGGCCTATATCGGAAGACAATCTGTGCCGTTTTTCGATTAGTTACATTTTACATAATACTAGGTGACCCGTACAACTTCAACTGCATCGAATTATAACTAACATATTGTTAGTTATAATTCGACCAATTTACATATATATTTTTAAATTGTAGACTATGTATTATTCTGACGCTATATTGTTGTAAAGTTTCATCAAATCTGTTTGGTAGTTTTTGCGTGAAAGAGTAACAAACATCCATCCATCCATACTCGCAAACATACGCGTTTAACTCATATTATAGTAATATTTTCATATCCAGATGTTATTACTGTACTTAACAGTAATAAAGCTTTTTATTTTATTCATGTACTAGCTGTGCCCGAGGTTTCTTTCGCATTAAATTTATAGCCTATTTGTTATTCTGATATATAAGCTATATATTGCTGTAAAGGTTCATCGAAATCCGTTTAGTAGTTTTTGCGTGAAAGAGTAACAACGTACCCATAGTCACAAACTTTCGTTTATAATATTAATAAGATTGTCATTGTTTAGGTACATGAAAATGCCAGCCCGTAATTACAAGCGCCGGAAAATGAACTGAGACGCATCGGGTGGCTGTGATCATGCGCAATGGCGGGAGGCGGAGCCATGGACTGCTATGTGCCGAACAACCCGCAGTTCGGGCTGGCCGACTGCTGTCAGGGCTGCCACGGCCTCTGCTGCGACCCGCTGCAGCCGTGCCTCCAGTTGAGGGAGTTCCAGGACGAGGGGTGCTGTCAGGTGGGCCCGTGGTCGATGATACTATTTATGTGACCCAGTGATTTATTTTTTATTTTTCCAAAATTAAAACTAAGGACGAACGCTAATTGTGTGTTAAATTCTAAGTAATTAAATAACATAATTTGTATTTTGTATGTAAGAATATTACGGATTTAGGTAAATCTGGATTGGTGTAACTGGCTTTAAAATAGGTCTACCTGTGGTCAATGATACAATTTATGTGACCCCAGAGATTTTTTTCCAAAATTAAAAGTAAGGACTAATGTTACATTTAAAGTTATAAAAAAAAACTAATTTGTATTTTATGCCTAAGAATATTACGGAATTAGGAAAGAGTGGATTGGTGTAACTGGCTCCTAAATAAGTAAGTACCTAATTCAAAATTATCAAAAATATAACTTGAATTTATAATAACTAACTAACTCTACAAATATGTTTTTGCCATATAAATTAAAATCGCTATTAAAAAATTGGATTTGGTGATAGAAGGGTGAAAATTTAAGCTACATTAAAAAAAATTGATAAAAACGATGTTAGGGGTGGACAACCCTTATCACTTAGGGGTATGAAAATTAGATAATAGCCGATTCTCAGACTAAAATTCATAATATTTCATAAAAATCGGTCAAGCCTTTTGGAGGACTATGATAACTAAGATTGTGACACGAGAATTTTATATGTAAAGAATAATATTACAAATACACATAATATTACGGAATTACCAAAAAACTGGATTGGTGTTTCCAAAATAAGTAAGTACCTGATGATGACATTGCCTTGTTGTATGTTACAAATTTATATTAATATTAAGATGTTAATTTATTTTTTATTATTGTCTATTACCGGAATGGACTTTGTCGAAAGTCATCCGTGCTAGGTCTATTTCACATATTCCAGCCAGCAAGTAGCTTGCTTTGTAACTGTCCGGTCGACTGGCGAGATATGGCAGTGAAATTACAGGCTACAGTGTATAAATGCGGGACAATTACAATAGTCCATCGGGGTGAACGATCAACGAAATTCTTTCTATGTCAGTAAATTTTCGAGAAATCTTGTTGTTGAAAAAAATGTCTTTGGAAAATAAATTATCCGTGAAATATAATAATTTCAAGTATAACAACAATATTAATCGTTTTTTGCAGATTCCATAGCTTAAACACAAATTAATTAAATAAGTCAGAAATTAATATTTTGCTCTATAAACTGAAAAGGGACTAAGTAGCGTGTGACTACAGCGCTGACTTCTAGTGGAAATACAACTAGAATATATGTAGTAAATGTACATTAACTTAATAGAATAATAAATATTATATTTAAATTACATTACATAATTATTAATACATATAGGTATTATACTCATGTTGTTCTACACGAATTTTGTGACGTATTTCTAAAAATTCTGAAAGTGGAAAAAATTTGAACCTAAATTTATTTTGAAAACTCTTTTTCATTAGGAACTAAGTTTTGAAAGGAAAATTCAGGGCTCAGAAGATGTTTCTCACATATCTATTGTTTGTTTATTCAATTAAAGAATATGCGTTTTAGTCGTGTAGGTACCTACTCTAATACGTAGGTACATCAGTCATCATTTAAAAGAAATCGATTTCTAAGCAAAATAAATATAAAAACTTAAAAAAGGGGAAAAAAAATTAAAGGAGTCTATAGAAATAAATAAAATTGAAGAGCCTGTTTGTACTTTCAAATTAACATTTTATTTATAACAGGTATTTATATGAAAAAAATAATTTAAAATATTTTTTATAATATAATAGGGAGTGACTTCTATTATTTTAGAAATTTTATTTCAGTTCCACATGTACCTACGATAGTCACCTATAAAAGTTAAGATTAAAAATAGTTATCCTTACTAATATCATAAATGCGAAAGTAACTCTGTCTGTCTGTCTGTCTGTCCCGCTTTCAGGCTAAAACTACTGAACCGATATATATGATATTTGGTACGTAGATAGTCTAGATCTTGAGAAAGGACATAGGCTACTTCTTGAAGCGAACGAAATCGCTGGCACAACTAGTTCCATATATTTCGTTACTTATTAAGCAGCGAAATTACAGGATAACAGACATAATTTCTTAGTCCTCTAGAATGGAAACACTTGAGTGGTATCATGATATAGACGGTAGGTTTCTCCATGCTAATTTGTTCTACAAATTTTAGCAAGAAAACGAGAACTGCTGTCCAGAAAATGGAGAAGAACTAAATGCACTGGGCGACTCGATCGCTCCGTGCGACGTCAATCTCGGAGACGGAGATGTGAGCGGCGCGGACGCTGGGTGGGCCGAAGACATGGGATCCTTCTCACTACCGCCACTGGAGCTCGACCCCTTACCCTCACTATTCCCGTTCTCACCCTGTTCTGGATACAAGTGAGTACTGTTTCTATCTAAATTTCTTTTTAAATTTAGGGACTTTTATACAAACTAAAAGTACATGGCCTACCACTAATTACTATATTACCTCACAAGTGAAAAAATTGTCTTAGCCGCACCATCTGAGAGATCAGCTAAAACGCTTATGGCATCAACATCCAATATATAGTATTTATTCTATGGTCTGACGTTATTATATGTCGTACACTCTCGTTCCTGACACACTCCATCAGCAAATTATATACATTCTTTATTCTACTCCAAATATTATATATGTATATAATATAATATCATTTAATAAAATATTTTAGAAATAATTCTAAAATAATTATAAACTTTGTAACCAGCAGCCATACTTTCTATATCTACGTTACCTTCTGTCTGTCTATTATCTGATGTGATGAAAAACTTAATTTAGATTAAGAAAAATGCATCCGTGAAAATATTTGGAAATTGATATCGATTTCCAAAAGTTCCAAAAGTATGGAATAGATGTACAAGATAACAATCAGTAAAATTATTTCATAATATTTATCATAATAATTGGATAGAAAAACAATAAAAATAAAATCATTGTTATAGAGTACAATTTTATTAAATAATCGTTACTAGATGATAATTAAAATGATGACCATAAAGATTTCAGTTAACTTATTGCACTATACTTGCTGACATAACAAAATTTACAATTCATACATCTTGTCATCCTCTACTGGAACTGTTAGCGCAGGGGTGCGCCATTCCATTACCATACATTTAAAAAAACCACCTGTCAGGAACATAAGAGCTTTCCTTTCCTTTAAATAGCATAAAAATAGATTAATTAATCATCACAAAACGTACAATATAAAATAAAAACTAAAACATAACGTTCCAATTGAATCCTACTACTTTTTGAAGTTAGTTAAAATGAGTTCAAAATCAGAGCCGGAAAATTAATATCCCGGTCATCCCAGCAGGAACAATCCGGGTGAATGCCGGGAGAGGGGCGGGGGGGAGGCGGCGGACGTCCTCCTTTCTCTCAAGCACGCCGTTGTCCATGGCGACTGCGCTGAGACGGTCCACCCTCAGGTAACAAGTCACTTTCACTCCTATACAACAAACGAAAGGTAGAAAGGGACAGATGTGTTTATATATCCTTCTTTGTTCAACGTTTACAGATGTGTTACAGCCGTCTCTGTCTAATCGAAGGGGTGTTTCAAAAGGGGAAATTTGTATAGGAAATAGGTAGGGAAAATCCGAGGGCGTAGTTTCTGTACTAAATGATTGTAATTAATATAGTATTGAGATATGATATGGCTTCCATTTTGTATAGAATATTATGTTGGGATTCTTATAGGATTTTGTATAGGGTACAGTCTTTAAACATGTTACCATGTTTATTTAACGTACTTGTTATGAGTACGTATAGAAAATTAAATTTATGTTAAGACCATAGGCGATATATTATAGGTATTCAGCTAAAATATATGTATAGGTTTTAAAAAACACTTGCGTCATAATCATGGTTTTTCTGTATAGGTATAGACAATAGAATCTTTGAAGATAAAACATTCTCTACAAATAAAATTTGATCTAAATAGAGCTGTATCCTAAACTATGTCTCGAAACATATGTCCTCTTAATTATATTTTATGAACAATTCACATAGTGCTAACTAAAATAAAAGCTTAACTTGTGAAATTTATAGCCTTTATTATGCTTGAAAACAAAGATAACTAGAAAAATATAAACATTCATGGTCAAGGATAGAAAAAAATGTTTGTATCGTGTGAGAATCGAATCCGCAACCATCAAAGCGGTGTGCTTAACTGCTAGACCATTGAGTTCGTCCATTGCCTAGTTTGCATAGTGAGTACTTATCTAATTTGCAAAAATTTAAAAATACAAATTAGAATATCATTTATCTAAATATCATAAATTGTGTATATATATATAATCATAATATAATGCAACAACTTATCTCTGCACAATCATGACTGGTAGAAAATGCCATTAGGTGTTAAACTATAAATGTATGCATTAAAGTTATTTAAATAAAAATAAATAATATCATAGAACTATAAATATGCAGACTATACACAAGTATTTAATTATTTAAAATTGTGTAAATTATTTTACACAATTTTAAATTTATTATTATTATATTGTAGTTAGTTACATTAACTAGATGTCTTTCATACAGGTTCATAATGAGGACGTAAGGACACCAGCGACATTCCTATATAATTGTTGAGAAATAGAAATAATCTTAAAATTAATATAAGCAATTTAGAGTAGTCGTAGATATATTTTTTATTCTCATCGTAAGTTCTTCACAATCATTACATTACTTTAAAGTTTCATCAAAATCCGTTTAGTAGATTTTGTGTGAAAGAGTAACAAACATCCATATCCATCTATTCATACTGACAAACTTTTCGAATATCTTATACTTATTAATAAGATTCCTATTATTCTTACTGAAGTGTGTAATGTGTTGTTTTGATGTAATAAAGATTTGAATTGATTTGAAATTTGAGAGAGGACAGTCAAACAAACCGTTTGTTATTACTGACAGATGATGGTGAACACCGGCGGTGGATACCCGTACTATGAGCATTACGGTGGCACCCCCATCTTCCCGACCATGAGCGTCAACGTATCCATGAACATGACCATGCATGGATGCCCGCCAGATCAGCTGTGTTCTCAGGTAAACTATATTTATTAAATTTTTTATTGATTACATCTGTGTGCCCTAGTAAGTGGAGACAAAATTGGTTCGTGAATGGGATACAACACACAGTGGTGTAGGTATATATGATTATTCTATAGGTGTTGTGTTTATGTTGATTATTAGGTATATATAGTAGCATTTAATATTTTTTATAATATAAATGTCCCAATTCTATAGGAATTTCTTACTACCACGCTATTACTATCTAACTGTGTTATTTATTGTAGGTAGGTATAAACCTATTACGTATCTTTGCAAAAAAAATACTATTAGGTATCAGTAGATATAATATCTACAGTTAATCTACCTTTAAGAATTAGTTATTAGTTATTGGTCTCTAAACTTCTTGGTTACTTGAACATTATTTCTTAACACATACAGCAAAAAAACCAATCAGTTAATTCTTAAGGTCCAGTGGAAAAATTGAAAAAATAATAATTGGTAATTCTTTATGGGCATCGTTGATTGGGATTACTTCTCCTTTCTTTCTAAAATTGGTTCTATACAATTAGGTATAAGAGGTGTTGTTGGTTGACATATTCAAAGATAGCTACAAAATCATATTCTTAAATAATTTTTATATTCATAGAGTTACAGCCAATATTTATTATTGATCAAAAGTGAATTCACTGCAGCCTACCACAAAATTATTTATTTTTAAACTTTCGAGTTTAATAATAAATAATTTTATTTTTAAAGAGGGATTTATGTACGTCGTTTCGACTAGGTTGCATTGGGTCACAAACTAACAGCGAATATCAATATTGATAGGTGCCGGCAGTTTGTTCAACTACCGTCATTATATTGTCCGACGAAAAATCGCGATAAATAAAATAAATATAACAAATATTACAGTAAATTACCGTATTATTCTTTTTGTAATATTTTCTGCCAAATTTCTTGCCATTCCGTCTGTTTGTAAAACAACGTTCTGAAGCTGTGTAGTTAGAATTTAAACGTAAAAGTTAAGATTTTATAATAGAAACATTTTTGTGTACTTTGTACGACTTCGGAAAACAAACTTACGACTTTGAGGATAGTATCGACTACGGTCACGTGACCATGGCGTGTAGACGTGAAGATCAAGGATATTACGAATATACTCTGATCTCAATAATAGGTACTTCTGTTCATTGATGCTGTTGAGGACATTTGGTCCAATGTCTGCGTACTATATAACTTTTAACTAATAAATTAGTTATAATAGTTCCCAATCAATACTGAAACACTATTATAGAAGCATAGCTCTATAAGAAACATCAGGGGGATTTGATGAAATTGTAAATCGGGAAGCCAGAGTTGTGTGATATAGCACTTAGACTTATAACTTATATCCTATAGTTATTATATTTCATTGGTCCCTCTATTACCCTGACATTATATTATATCTCAGGGTAATCAAAGACAGTGTATCAAAGATATAAATTGATACAAAAACAATTCTTTTGGTGGTTAGAAATTAAATTAAATTTATTCATTTACTATTTATAATTATTAGATTAGATTAGTAAGTATTAGCACGTATTAGTAAGGAATAGTAAGTAAGACTAGATTTTTTCCAAGGATGATAATGTAATGATGCAACCGCCTGCATTAACGATTTAAGCTGGCAGGGCACCAGTAATATGACCAGATAAAATGAGCATGAAGTTAGGACAGTCGGCCCATCTTAAAAACGGCAATTTACCACGATGGTTTCCAGGAGGAAACGCATGGATTGCTAGCAATGGGGTTAATTCCACAGTACTAACAATCCTCTATCCCCCAGTAAGATTAGATTAGATGTAACCTCACGAACTTTGGGCTCTATAACTCGATGTAGTAAACCACTATACTGTAACACTCTTTTTTCTTCTTTTGCCTGGCTTTGGTCTCATTTATTTGGTTTCGGCTCGTCTGGTCAGTCTTCACCAGGTCGTTCTGTCCTGGGTCGTCTGGGTTGTTATTTCTCAATAACAGACATCCATGTGATGAAATAGAATAATAATAAAAACAAAGCTTCCTTACAGGTACAATGGAACCAAAACGCAGCGACACCATCAGTGAACGTAGTCTACCCTCAAACACAAAATGTCATCAGTCCAAACACGTACCCTTCAGCCACTTACTCATTCACAGCTGACTTCAGAGCTCCAAACCAATCAGATCCATTAATAACCGCGACGTCCACCTTCAAACCATTATTGCAAAACTCCCAGAAGTCCAACAATAATTATGCACTGTTCCAACAAAAGCCGAACTATCAATGTCAGAAGCCACCTGGACAAATTATGAAGAGGTCCCCATCGAAATTGTATATGCAAGATGGTCAGAAAGACCAGAATATGGGCGGTGGCTATACTATATTGAATCAAGGACAGATGTATCCTCAGGAGCATGGATACACGACGTGCGTGAATGCTTCAGGTAAAGTCCAGGTGAGTTTATTCTGCTTCTTTTTTTTTAATATAATTGTACTTGCAAACATCCACCTGATGGTAACTAACTGTCGCCTGTATTCATCCACAGACATCACGTTATCACATGACGCCCGTAATACCACTCATGCTTTGCCATTTTTGAAGACTAACATGTCGTGCCTCTTATCTTGTAATATCAGCTCTGTCTTATCTTGTAATATCAGCTCTGTAAAAATAGGTTATGAAATTATTTATATGTAGAGCTCATCCGCGAAGAGTTAAGCTATTACTGTATATAAGTATTTTAACTGTTGTTTATTACCCATAGCGCAAGTTCTGCTTAGTTTAGGACTAGACACAGACAATATCTGCACAGATATATAATTCTAGCACTCTCCCAAAATCACGCAGAAAGCAACATGAACATGGATAGTTGCTAATCTTATAACAAAGTACATACATGCTAACATTATATATCTATTTGAATTCGACACGCAGTTAGATTATATTTTTATTTTAGCACAGACAGACAGATTATAATCTATTTTTTTTAGAACACAATGTTGTCTCTATTATAACAGGTAGGAGCTCTAAGCGGATGCTCAGAAGACGACGAGCAGAAGCCAAACTTGTGTCGTATATGTGGTAAGACGTACGCTCGACCCAGCACTTTGAAGACCCACCTTCGGACGCACTCTGGTGAACGGCCGTATAGGTGTGGAGACTGCAACAAGAGTTTCTCTCAAGCCGCCAATTTAACCGCTCATGTCAGGACTCACACGGGGCAGAAACCCTTCAGGTATGATTATTTTAGGTTCAAGTTATATTAGGAAAAGTGTTTTATAAGAAGAGTGAACATTTATAAATTTGCTCCTATCCATTAACATCGCATATAGCTATGACGCGCTCGTGATCTTACTGCCCAAAAGGATCATGAGCGAGTCATACTGTGTGTGGGTTGCACGCCGTGCAATATTGTGAATATGTGGCGATTTACGCTTTGCGAGGAATAATAAAAATTACTTCTTAAAAAATGTTCAAGTTGAGGTTCTTACCAGTTCTTTCTCAACTGTCGCTAGCGGAACTGGACGGTATAGTCAGTGTCAAAAAATAGGATGCGTGCAATAAATAATTTTGAGTATTGAGTTTGGATTTTTATCATTTAGCATCGATAATTAACTCCTTTTAAAGACATATTTTAAACTGTATGTAGTCTGTATATCACACTACGACAAATAAGAGTGGAGCTACAATGCAACTTTTAGTAAAATCGGGGGAAATGTAACGTAAACCAAGTTACCAGATCGATATATTTTAAACATGTTATGCTACTATAAGAATAATAATTTTTATTCATAAATATACAGTACAATTTAATACATTTAGCCCTGTCTTTCGATATAGGTAAACAAACTTGCATCACGAAAGACAATTCCCTCCAACATAGGTACTATAAACATTATATAAATAAATAAATACAGAATAAAAATAACTAACTGTATATAGGTATATTGATTTCTTATTAGAGATTATTATTTATGTTCTATTTGATTGGCAGGTGTCCAATATGTGATCGACGCTTTAGCCAAAGCTCCAGCGTGACTACGCATATGAGGACGCACTCTGGAGAACGACCTTACCAGTAAGTATTGATTTTTACCAAATTAAGCCAATAAAAATGGTTCTTAATTTGGATGCCCGTTTGAATTGGACGGGAGATCGATCGGTATTAGACACACGTTTGATAACGTGCAACCGTAATGAAAACCACATTAAATTATATTTGATATATATAGCATATACAGCCTTGGCCAAAAGTAGAAGTAAAAGTATAATCCAAAATATTTAAAATTAGTATTCACGTTGCTAAGTACCAGTTACGTGTAACGTGCAACCGTAATGAAAACCACATTAAATTATATTTGATATATATAGCATATATGTATATCCACTGAATATTTCCATCAATCGGAGGGGATATCTATATGTAATAAATATAATATATTTATATGATATAATTGTTCCACAGATGCAGATCGTGCAAAAAAGCGTTTTCTGATAGTTCAACGTTGACCAAACACCTCAGGATACATTCTGGGGAGAAGCCGTACCAGTGTAAGCTATGTTTATTAAGGTAAGATTTAGTTATTCTAACATATAAAAGAGTCAGAACCTATTTTGATGAAATTTTAATGTATACTCGGTAGGTGTGATAATAGCTATCTATTTTTGTATACCACCAAGTGATAAGTATGGCCCACCCCAATAATGCTTCTTTATTTTTCCTGCATTAAAAAATACATACAACCCTAAACGGCCCACCACGCCATCTCTAGTACGGATTTTATAGCGAAGATGATTGTTTTAAGTTACTCCACTACGATATATCAATCACCGTATTCAACCATTACAATATTCAAATTATTGTAATATGTTACTAATAAATTTATAACCTATAGAACTCAATTATAAGAAATCCTCGGTATATGATAATAACTTTTCTAATATCCTTTCTCGTTGTCAGGTTTTCGCAATCGGGCAACTTGAACCGACACATGCGAGTTCACGGGAACATGGCCGGCGGCATGCTTGGCTGACACATGCAGAGTTGCGGACTGCATTCATACTACATGTAAAAATACACAAGCTATCGATATATCGGTGGCTAAGCCGTTACGAGTACCACTTTGTTAAAGAATAAATCAGTGCTGTAGTTAAAAGAAAAGAGACCGAAATATGAATATAAAATAATCAAGAAACTGCTACAACTTATAAGTAACAAGAAAACGGATACATTTCGTGCTGTAGCAATTAAAGCGCCATTTAGGATCAACCGTTACCAGTACCACTTTTTTAAAGAATAAAGAAATCAGTGCTGTAGTTGAAAGAAAAGAGACCGAAATATGAATATAAAATAATCAAGAAACTGCTACAACTTATAAGTAACAAGAAAACGGATGCATTTCGCGCTGTAGCAATTAGAGCGCCATTTAGGGTCAACTATACTTTATATACTAAATTTACAAAAGAAGATTAAACAAGTTGCCAGTACACGACTGTAAAAATACACAAGCTATTGATATCAATACCAGTACCGTTTTGTTAAAGAAACCAATGCGATAGTTGAATTAAGAGAGATGGAAAACTTCAGTCAATAGCTGCTTCTACATGATTGTAAAAAAAGTCAAGCTATTGATATACCAGTGGCTAAGCCGTTACCAGTACCATTTTGTTAAATTAACCAGTGCTATAGTTGAACTTAGAGAGACGGAAAACTTCAGTCAATAGAAGCCTCTACGCGACTGTAAGAATAATCAAGCTATTGATATATCTGTGGCTAAACCGTTACCAGCACCATTTTGTTAAATTAACCAGTGCTATAGTTTTTTTTTTTTTAGGGTTGATAATGGAATGGTGCACCCGCCCGCGCTAACGGTTTACGCTGGCGGGGCACCAGTGGAGGATGATAAAATGAGCATGAGGTCAGGTCAGTTAGCCCGTAGTGCAAATTCACCAGGAATTTAACACGATGGTTTCCAGGGGGAACCGCGTGGAGGTCGACCTGACATGGTACATTGCTAGCAATAGGGTTATCAATCCACATTACTAACAATCCCCTTCCCCCTCAGTGCTATAGTTGAACTTAGAGAGACGGAAAACTTCAGTCAATAGATGCCTCTACGCGACTGTAAGAATAATCAAGCTATTGATATATCAGTGGCTAAGTCGTTACCAACACCATTTTGTTAAATTAACCAGTGCTATAGTTGAACTTAGAGAGACGGAAAACTTCAGTCAATAGATGCCTCTACGCGACTGTAAGAATATTCAAGCCATTGATATATCAATGGCTATGCCATTATCTACTGGTATTGGCAAATTTCAACAAAAAATGGTACTTCATTTTGTTAAAGAAACCAGTGCTATAGTTAAACTAAGAGAGACAGAAATCTTCAGTCAATAGCTGCTTCTACACGATTGTAAAAATAGTCAAGCTATTGACATATCAGCTAGACCATTACCAGTATCATTTTGTTAAAGAAACCAGGGCTGGGAATTGAGTTTTGAAATAAGTAATAATATTATAAAACATCGAATTAATTTGTTTACCGTGCGGAATTAATAGTAATTGTAGTTTGACTACGTATACATATAGGGAGTCACACGTACTTTTACTTTATATAGCGTACCTACAAATATAATTTAATAAATGATAATTTTCTCTGAACGGCTAGAAAACATAAATATGTATACTACATAGTTATAAATTGTAAATATAGTTTGCTAGTTTTTATAAGTACCTAATATTTATAATGTATTTATATTAAATTTGTAACTAATGCACTTTGTTCCTAGCTTCGGTTTAGAAGTATAATAAATATAGATCAGAACTATAACAAAAATAGAGATTTAAAACGCTTTTTTATTGGGATTTGTTTGCAGTTATTATGAGAGGGTTGTAGCATTTGCTACTCTTGTTTGCTACTCTACTAAGTTAATTTGACACTGGACAAAAGACCCTATTGACACGGGCAGATAGTTTTTTGTTATTTGGGGTCTGGGTTATTGTCAGTTGCTTTGGACCTGTAGCACTGCGACTTGCGTAGATCTATTGTCCTCGCCCTTTTTCAGTGTGCGCCACCTAGACCCGTCAGAGACAAATATTGAAGGATATTCTTAGGAGCAATGGTTTTTATCTCCTCAGGATAGAGTGTAAACTTTCCAAAGGAGATATTTCGTTTATACATGAGTGGGCTTCAACCACATAGGATGTGTAGTGGCGTTGTCCTAGCGTGGCAGATAGATACCGAATAATGTGTGGTAGGCACATAATACTTTGATGGTAGGATAATTGGGTTTTATTAAATTGTATTGTAATATAAATGTTGATACGTACTTGTTAAATACCTCGGGATATACAGGACATGAACCCAGATTGTAATTTTATTTAGACTGTATGAAGCGTCATTTTCGTTGAATAGTTTCAAAGTGCATTATTACTGTTTATTCATTTGTAAATATATAATTAAGTTAATGTTAATATTTAGCACGTCTTGCGCTGATCTAGTCACTGCTACATGAAATATTTAGAAGCAATTCGTTTGTTTAGGTGTCCTAATTATTATAATGCGTGTTAATAAAGTTAGGATAATTCACACAGCGCCATCTAGCTCGAAACTAAGCAAAGATTGTATTATTGGTACTAAACAGGGATACAAATATTTAAATATTTTTTTAATTATTACAAACGCACAGGTAGGTTGCTGATATATTTTTTTACAAGGGGAAATGTTCATACAGAACCGCCCGTCTTGAAGAGGTGCGGCGGATACTGTATAATTCTTATCCATTAAATCCCCTCGGTCTTCTTCATAAAACTACGATTGATTATAGGTATATCTACCTATCTATATCGCTGCGATAAATTCTAAGAACTATATATAAGTTTTTTTACAATTGATATAGCGCCATCTATTTCCAAGCTAAACAGAATTTCATAGAGATTCTTATTGACGTTATGTTGTCTAACGTCAAAAAGGAACTACAATAAATATTTTTCGATTATCAAAAAGTCTTCGGCAACACCGCTTTTAATATGTAATTGTCTTCTCTAAATGATGAGATTTAGAAAAAAAACTATTATTTGAATAGTTTTTTTTCTAAATCTCATCATTTAGAGAAGGCAAATTTAAGTTTCTTTGATTAATTATTTTTCACTTCAACTATATTCTATTCTATGAGGTGTGTAACCAAAGACGTATATAATAATTAGGACAAATCATAGGACTATTTTGCAAACTATAGGACAAAATAGTACCTAGATGTTATTATTGTCTATGACTACCGGTTGACCAGTATTATTCAATAATAAGACACATTGATGTACCTATATGTAAAATTGTAATAGATTATAAGCGAAATAAAATGAAAATCAGATTGTTATGTTTTTGTTTCATTCGACAAAGTAGATATAGGTAGATAGTTTTTTTTTATGTTAATTGTTAACCACACCCTCCTAATAAGAGTTGCAAGCTCGTTTGTTTGAAAGAAAAAACTGTTAGGTCATCCTAATTTATATTTTTTTATTTTAATTTTAATTATTTATTAAAACTTTAATGCACAAATACATAAATAAAGGTACACATGGCGGACTTAACACCTCGAGACATTTTCTCCCAGTCAACCATTGGGCAAACAGAGATTCATGTTGGCGATGCATTAACAAAATGAAATTCAAATCTAAAAAAAAATAAAATAATAAGAAGATCACTTTAATATGATTAAATATAAATACATATGCGAATATACTTATAAACTATAATACATAATATGAATAAATAATTATACACATATAAATATAACTACATACACGTACGTACCTACATACATACATACATACAAATACACATACAATTATAAATTTATACAAATCAACAGGGAAAATCAGATACATAGAGGTGGTTGGGTGGAGGAATAATACTATAATTATATACAGGAGCCTACACAAGTTCTGGAAAATGTGTTTGCGTAATTTGGATTTGAATGTGAATTTTGAAGAGCTGGACCTTTTAAAAATGTCAAGTAATTTAACATTAACTCGTTCCAGTGTTTAATGGCAAAATGTAAACTTTGAAAGATTTAGAAATAAATATTACGATGAGTTTTAATAAATTTATATAATACTTTTCATTATTTCACTTTTATTTATTTATTTCCAGGAAACGTGGAGAAGTACAATTCCTAAAAGACGGACGAAGGTTACGATAAGAGATAAATCCCCATGAAAATGAAATTTGGTATTAAGATACTCGGGAGAGTTAGGATCGTATAGTAATGAATAAAATAAATTTACACAAGAGACGAACAATTCTTCGTTGGCGGATTGGAAGCCAATTAAGCTGAGAGCGGTATAAAGAGATATGGTCGTACTTACGGAGACCGAAAATAAAACGTATGCAATTATTGAGAAGACGATCCAATTTGTTTAAAAGGTCCTCATTCATGTCCGAGCAGCACACATCTGCATAATCAATAATGGGTAGTACCAGGGACTGAATAAGTAAGATCTTAGTACTGGTAGGAAGGAAATTTTTAAACCGGTATAAATTGCGCAAGGTGTACGTAACTTTACGACTGACCTCATTGACGTGATTATTCCAGCTAAGGGTGGTATCAATCGTGAGACCAAGGTCTTTGACATGCGTGCAGTAAGGAATAGACATTTTATTAAAAATTATCGGAGGAACAGACGTCAGGCTCGTTTTGCCGAGTTGTCTCGAGCTTCCCAAAATGATTGCTTGGCATTTGCTAGGATTGACAGTCACCCCGAACCTAACCGCCCAGTCCTCAATATAGGCAAGAGCATCGTTTAATCGACTTACAGCTTCGGATATTCGTTTTTTTTTTAGTATCTAACAAGTATTATATATTTTTGATTAAATGTCCGAACATGGCACTGTAAATCGTCTGCGTAAAGATGGTAAGAGCACTTGAGATCATTAGTGAGGAAGTTAATAAAAATATTTTATATTACTGGGATGGCAAATCATAGCCAAGGAACATAATACCTATTCTAGTAGTGCTCAATATTTTTTATCTATGTAATTAGTTACACTACAAGCGGTTTCGTGCCGTTTTAAGTGATTATCTCACATACAAACAAATACAATCAACCGTAACCAGGTCATCTGCACTCCTCAAGGAGGGTGTAGTAGAGGCCGTAGAGAATACCCTTTTACTCCGCCTTAACTTTGATGGCGTCTATCGCCCCAGGGCACTGGATAGAATATATATTTATTTTACTCTTTGATAGACTGTCTTAGCTGATCTTGTAATATGTTATTGCTCTCTGTTGGAAAGTTGTTCTGAGACAATATAAACTTGTAATTTATTAACATGGATGTCGCCTCGCACAGATTAGATGATATATCTGACTCGAAATTTTGGACGAACTTTCTTATTCATTTTTTAAAGTAGTAAGAAATATTTATTTTGGTAATTATGAAAATATACTTAAATACCACACCATTTTCATAAAAACATAAATAAAATTGGTATATATGCGTGAACCGGACCGTCGACGTCGTAGTTTGACGTTGACATAATGACATTTGTTTGATTCCATTTGACAATTTTGACACATCATGATTTCTCCTCAGTAACATTTCTATGTCGGAGTTAAAGTATTTCAATATTTTATCATCGTAAACGCTACCGGCACTATAAAGTTCCGTATACTTTAAATCACTTTTGCACAAATTATATTTCCTTATTAGCACCGCTGCTAATACCATTCCGTTAGAAATAGGAACGTTGGAAGTTTCCCACTCACAAATAGTTATTGTTTGCTGTAATAAATTACGGAATTAGTTATTAAAATGACTGAATGTTCTTCTGACGAACCAAGTTCTACCAGAAAGGATTTCATCTGCGGGGTTGTTGAAGGTTTGAAATTCTAGAGACTTTATTTGACTCACTCGCTATTTCTACACTTTCACACAAATCTCATATAGTACATGTATCTATAAAAGCTAAGTTTATAAAGTGAATGACCTAAGCTCATTTATTACAGGCTTTTACGGACGACCATGGACCACAGAACAAAGGAAAGATCTATTTCAGAAGTGAGTACACTATTACTTGCTATTTATTTATTTAGAAAATAATTTTGTTTTGATTTTTACAATTTTGGAAAATTTATTTGTTCTAAAACTATTTACAAGATTTATGTTTACTCTTATCAATAATGCATGTTTGTTTAATGCATTGTTGCTATTGATGTATATAGTATACATATTGCTAAACTGTGTATAGTACATTCATCCCTGCCTACTATTATATTGGATTATACAAATTCCTATTAGAAATTCTTCAATGTTTGGTGTTAGTATGTATGGACCATTGAAACCTGTAATCACATTAGATGAAGGAATGTGGTATTTTAAATGATATGATGTTTTGACCAAAACTTAGCCCAGCCGTCTATACAGCTCAGCCAAGTTTTGGTCAAAACATATCATAAACACATAAATACTGAACAATATCAGAAATGATATTGATATTTTTGATTGCAGTCTGCCGAAGATCACCAAGTTTTCAAAAGTATCAAATTTTTTTACATGTTTATATTATGTAATAAAATATGTTATGTTATAAATTGATGTATATATGAATGTATACTGTACTAAGTTGCAACACCGATTTGGATATACTGTAATGGTGTTGTAATATTGAAATGAATAAATAAATAAATAAAATAAAATATTTAGGTTTTACCATTGATATGAAAGAATAACAAACCAGGGGGATAAAAACTTGTTTTTATTTTCTCCAATTGTTTCTTATGATTAAAAAAATTAAAACAAATAATTCATACTCTATGCAAATAACAAACAGTCTTTCTATATGGAAGATTGATGCAACTTTTCACTCAACAGAAAAAAAAACACTTAAAAGTAATGTAAATATAAGTAATATTATGTTAATAGAATTATTAAAATTATTTTAGATTGAAAAAATGGGGCATGGACATGTATGTCTATGCTCCGAAAGATGATTATAAACACCGAGCTTACTGGAGGGAACTGTACACCGTGGAAGAGGCTGAGCATTTGACATCTCTCATCTCCGCTGCCAAGTCAAAGGGCATTATATTCTGTTATGCATTGTCACCAGGCCTGGATATAACATACAGCAGCCAGAAGGAGATTACCACTTTGAAGAGAAAACTGGAACAGGTGTGTATGTTTTGGTTTATATTTAGGTGTATAATTCATGTAAATTAATTGAAATATACCGAAACCAGGCCAAGCCGCTAGCTTCTAGTGGTCGTCCAGTTGTCGAAAGTGGTAATCTACCACTTTTTCGTTCGTTACCAGTTTTCATCAAAGTGGTAGATACCACTTAGAAGAGAAAACTAGAATAGGTTGTTTTGGTTTATCCACAATCATAATTGAAATATCCAATTCATGCAGTTTCTCATGATGTGAATTAGGCTTTCGTTAAGTTTTTCCATAGATATCTTTAACTATACTAGATAGATACATAGATAACTTTTTAAATGAAATATTTTATAAAAGAAATCATAAAGTACATTTTGAACTTAATAGTAAAAAAGGCTATTATTATTATAACTAAAATATGGGATGAGAGCAGTCTGACTTGGTTTGGAGGCGTAACAAAATTATAACTAATTCCATAGATAACACTCTCATTCAAATTCAAATTTAAAAAGAATTATTTATTTATGACTGCTGCTTATGAACATTATGAATGAGTATTTTTTTGTAATTTAATTTATTTAAATATTTTTTTTGTAAGAATTAATGTCTCTAATACTTTGAACAGGTGTCACAGTTTGGCTGCACATGTTTTGCTCTGCTATTCGATGATATTGAACCAGAGATGAGTGAAGCTGACAAACAGATATTCCAGAGCTTTGCCCATGCACAAGTAAGTTTTTCAATACCATTTTGTTTTTTTATATATACATATTTTATATTGACAAAAGTAATAATTTAAAAAAAATGTATAATATTAAATATGTAATTAATCAGAATCATTAAGAACACTTGGTGTCACTATTCATTTTAAACATCTTTTTCATAAGTTTGTCAACATGTAATAATTCTAATAATCTATTGTAATAGTGCCACTTTCTCTTTTGCTATATTTTTAACTTGAAAACAAGTGTGTAACATAATAAGGAACTTCAAATATACAGAATTTTATAAATATTAAATCTGAAGTGCACCTTCACCATAAAATCTATCCGCTAACTCTTTGTTAAAAAGTGTTCAACATTTTACTATTAAAATGTCCTATCATTTTCTTTCACATTAAGAAAATAATTTGAAAGGAAAATAAAAGTGAATTTAATAACAGATATAGTATTATGTTTAATTTTTATAAGTAATAAACTGTGACGATTCATACAACGCCATGTAGTGTCACACTAAGGAAAGCTTGTGTGATGATATTTTATTACATAATACACATAGATAAACTAATAATACAAACATTATCATGAATACAAATGTTGTTACCATGTGAAGTATTGAAACCGCGACCAACAACATAGTGTTTTAAACCGATAGACCATTGAGGCCGTAAAATTCATACACCCAACTTGGTTACTATGCATATAATCAGGTAAGTTAAGTATTAATAGCGTAGGTCTGTGATAGGAACGTTCTTATATCCCACCAGGTGTCAGTGACCAATGAGATCCACCAGCACCTCGGCTGTCCGAGGTTCCTACTGTGTCCGACCCAGTACTGCTCGACGCGTGCCGTGCCCACTGTCAACAGCTCAGAGTACCTCAACACCCTCGGCACCAAGCTGTCACAACAGATTGACATCATGTGGACAGGTATAAGGTTTATTTTTACTGACAAAAAACCTTAGCATGTGTAATTAGGCGTCTTCTAATCAAATTTATGGGGTATTAAAGGTATTGTTAGTAATGTTGGACTGTCGACCCCATGACCATGTACCATGTCAGGTTACCTTCCACGCTGAATCCCTTGGTAATCATTGTGAAAAATTTCTGGTCAATTTGTTATACAAATACCCTAATAGGAATCGAACCTGCGACCCGCGAGTAGTAAGAAGGATCCAGGGATTTCTAAACAAGTTTTAAGTATATAATTCATGTAAATTAATTGAAATATACCGAAACCAGGCCAGGCTGCTAGCTTTTATTAAATCCAGTGGTCGCCCGATTGACGAAATTCAACCATAATTAATTTAACATTCTTTAAGACTATAGACAAATAATATTAAAAATAAACAATATTAATCTATTCTCCATTTGACCACAGACTTCAATAAACAAAAGAGTATGTATACGTGTGTGTGTGTCAGATACATGGTAGTGTATATAATGTCTTTTTAGGGATCTAATATATTCAAAATTTAAAAAAATATTAGCATTCTATATTTCTTCTCTATATATATAAACTATAAGTGTGCGAAATTTAATTTAGTTTTCGTAAAAAGGGCAAAGTTTTTGCTTCACGTATTAATATATATATATATATATAAACACATGTAAGCAAATCACGTTTATGTACGGACAACAATGCAAACATTACGTATGTAATAAATATCAGCGTGTTAACGAACTTGGCGTCAAGTTTTCCATGCATGAGTCAATGGTGTGATGACGTTGGTATCGTCATTGTGTGACGACATGCTATGTGGTAATTAAACCCATCAATGTTTTAAACTTTTTTCGCCGTTATTTATAACCAGCAGTAACCCGTAGACGATGAATGACGTATTTCCATACGAACTTTCAGCCCCTATTATACACTGTAATTATTTATACCCTATTATACACTATTATATATACTGTACTTATTTATATAAAAAAAACATCTATTAAAAAGAGCAACACATTTATTTATATTTAACTTGTGATGAATCTGCATTCCGAATGACTTCGTCCGCATGACTATTCAAGATGATGAATGATTTTCCATACAAACTTTCATCTACCATTTTATTTTACCCCCTTAATGGTACAATTTTTACAAACTTTGATAGCTACATTTATTTATATTTAATTAACAGCCTAAAAAATAAGTTTCAAGCTTAACTTAACTTAACTTCGATACTTTCATACAATGTTTGATCTTCCCTTTCAACTTACAATCATTTTTTCGCATTGTATATTAGCCAAGACAGCCAAGCCAGTGAAATCGGTATTATCTGTATAAAATCGTAAGTAGTTTTCTAGGGAGACCCGCATGGAGGTCAACCTGACATGGTACACTACTAGCAATGGGCTTATTAATCCACATTACTAATAATCTTCTTTTCCCCTTTAGTAAACGATTCCTGGTTGAGTTCCATTTTTGGAATTTACTCGTGATTTTTTTTTACCAAATAGGTGGCAAACAAGCATACGACCCATCTGATGGTAAACGGTTACCGCAGCCGATGGATGCCTGAAATACCAGGGGTGTCACATACGCGTTGCCGACCCTTAAGAAACCTTTATATACCCTTCTTGAAAAACCCCATGCTGTAGTCTCTAAAGAAATCCTCGACAGGTAGTTCATTCCACAATCTAAGTGTACGCGGGAGGAAGCTCCTCTGAAACCGCACTGTCCGAGACCACTTAGGTTCTAGCGTGTGTGGGGATGAATTCCCTGTCGATCCACATCGAATAGCAAGGATGAGGCGTCCCAAATTTAGTGCTCTGAAATTTTATAAAAAAACACTGAATTAATTAAATACTTAACATTATTGCAGGTCCAAAAGTCATATCCAAAACCCTGACTACGGAATGTATAGAGGAGATAACACAAGTACTGAGGCGACCGCCGGTCATCTGGGACAACCTCCACGCCAACGATTACGACCAGAAAAGGATCTTTTTGGGTATACAATAGAGTTTAATATAAAATAAATATGCACTATTAATATATAATGTCTAGTATTACCACAATAAATATAGTCTTAAAAGTCTTTGAAAAGTCCGAGCGAAAAGTGAAGGGTTTTACGAGGAAAATTGTAATAAAAGAATTTTACGTCTTTACAGAACAACTATTATATTTAGACAGCTTTTGTGACATCCTTTTAAAAAACAAAAAACAAATTAATTTCTTCTTTTTTACACTCTCATCTAATTTTCACACGCTTGAGAATTATTTCTATAACTTCAGTACATGATAAAATGAATAATATACGAAACTAACTTAACAAGTACTTCGCCTTAACAGAGAGAATTTATGTTTATCAAACTTTATTTTATTTAAGGCTTTTGTGACATCCTTTTAAAAATCAAAAAACAAATTAATTTCTTCTTTTTTACAAAAAGTACTAGAAATATAAGTTTCAGAAGAGAATTAAAAAAAAATACACTATACAAATAATTAATTATATTTTTTCACTGGATAATCCTCACGGCGTCGTTTAATACAAAGCAGAGCTTGTTTTATGGGTACTATTTTTTTTATTGCGGGGTTTGGGCTATTGTCAGGTGCTTGGACCTGTAGTACTGCGACTTACATAGATCTATTGTGCTCGCCCTTTTTCAGAGTTCGCTACCTAGACCCGTCAGCGACAAGAATTGAAGGATATTCTTATGAGCAATGGTTTTTATCTCCTCAGGATAGTATATTTTTCCAAAGGAGATATTTCGTTTATGCAGGAGTGGGCTACAGCCATGTAGTGACTTTTCCTCTTCCAATTAACAAAATCTGCAAATCGTTGTTGAGTACAAACTGTAAACTGCACAAATGTTCGCCTTATGATCTAAAGTGTGCAAATACAGGTCCATACTGTGGCCGGTCGCCGGAACTGATCCCGCTACTCCGCGGCGTGCTGACGAACCCCAACTGCGAGTACAACGCGAACATGATCCCAATATGGACGCTCGCGCACTGGGCCAGCTGCAGCTTGGATGCGCCCGCGCACAGTAAGTAGATACCAATAATTAAAAGTAATTTGTATATCTGACACACAAATGGTCCTGATTCTAATATAGCCGACACTGAAAACTATGTCATTTTATACTTTTTATACTATGATGGTGGCAAACCAACTTACGGACTATCAGAAACACTACCGACCTTTGTTGTCGACCCATGGGGTTTTTCAAGAAAAACCCCATGCTGTAGTCTCCCGAGAAAAATATAAAATTAATGCAAAAACCGAATTAATTTTACAGAATTATTTCTGCTCTGTACTTTTATGTCTATACTTTACGATAATTTATTTATTTACATAGTGGAAGCTGTATCGTGGGACATAAAGTTAGAGCGTGAGAGTGAGCAGGGTGTCTGCGATGACGAGGCACCCTTGACGCTCGGCAAACATGTCTACCATCATCGACAGGCTCTAAGGTAATGTATAATCATTTTTATTATTACGTAATATAATTCATACAACTACATACAATTTTATTACAATACATATCCATTAAACCTCAGTGGCCTTATGATTTATCACTGTTGGGCATTTCTAACTATATAATTAATGGTATTAGCGTTTAGGACCTTAATTATAATAATAATAATATTCCTGGACAATACATATACCGCCATTTAATACCAAGCTAAGCAGAGCTTGTGTTATGGGTACTAGACAATTGATATAGATATTTGTTTGGCAATATATACATAACTAGCTGTGCCCGCGGTTTCACCTGAATCAAACCTGCGACCATGGGGAGTAAGGCGGTGTGCAAAACCCCTACACCACCGAGGACCTGAATTTAACATTTTGTAAAAAAGTTACATTAGCATAACCAATTCAGTTTAATGTATTTTTTTAACAAATAGATGAATGGGATAATACAGACATATTGTAACTTTCAGGCATGCTATTAACGAATGGTTACCAGAATTTTCGATACCGAAGACTGCTCAAGGGCCTATTATAAAAGCGCAGCCTTCTGTTCCCGGTAATTATGAAATTTTGATATATTTTTTTAAACATATAATAATTAAGAGCGAACTTATGCCAACACATATATGTAAAATGTGTGCTATAGTTACTAAACAGGATTATAAGTTTTTTCAGTAATTCTATAATTGTATTTGCTTCCTAGTCAGATGTTCGCCATTTTGTAATGATAATTTTAATGAAAGGCGCTAAAATGCGCATGGCTGAAGAACTCTCGTTCTTTATCTACTTACATGCTTATGTTTTCTCTTTTCTGCGTGAAAGCCGATTCCCGCGTGAAGGATTATCATGTCGAATAAATAACTAAATGGTGCACATCTTAATATGGAGCAAAGACATAATTGTATATATAATATATATATAATTTATAAATCTTAAATGTGTCTTTGGACCCACAACGGCCCGAATGAGAGGCCAATTGCGGAAAATGGAGTCCAACCTACAATACAATACATGTGTCTTTGGAAAATAAAATCTATGGAATAACAAATAAAATTTTACAAGAACCTGAAATGAATTGAAATCTCGCGCGAAAGAGCGAATACAAAAAATAAGTATATGTAAAGACACACCACGTCTGCGCGCAGGCTATCCCGCGCGCTTACGTTGATCAATAATAACAGGCGTCAAACCACGTACGATTAAAGGACGGGGCAATTTACGAGCGGACGGCGCGCGCGTTTTATTCTCGTTCTTTTTGTCTATTTTTCTTGCGTGAATGTGTGTATATAAAGGCAGCTATTGATTAATGAATGTATGTTGTACACAGCGCCTCCGGTGCCGATAATCCCGATCATGCCGTCCGTGAACACGTGCATGTCGCTGATGACGGGCACGAGCAACACGTGCACCACCAGTACCGCCGACATGTCGCCCGCCATCCCCACCGTGCACACCAGCCAGCTGCAGGCGCTCGCAGACGTCTGCAGCGCCACGCCAGACCGGCCCATACTCTCCACGGGGGTCAGTACACCGTACACATCATATAATACACACCAGCCAGCTGCAGGCGCTCGCAGAACTCTCTGTAAACATAGCCTAAAATAAACGTGCGAAGGTTTTCATATCCATTGGATCAATATTTAAAAAAATGGTTTCAAAATAATTTGTTTTGTTGCAGATATCTCCCATAGAAACTTTCAATCCGGTATCAAATCCTGTAATGAACTCATTGGTATCACCAACCAAAGTGATACTAAATGAATCAATACCCAACCCAATTATACCGATGGCGAGTTCAAATATATCTCTTCCATCTGAAATACCGGTTTCGACACTACCAGTACCAATACTCGGTATTAAGGTATTAGATGACAATATTGAGAAAGTGGATCAATCAATGAATGAGAAAATTGACGAATCTTTATCCAATGATTCTGTGTTGGAGAGTGCGAGCTTTCTAGAGGATATGAAGAAGGATAAAGAAGAGGATACGATTATTGTGGATGACGTAGAAGGAGGATCTATTGAGGAGCAACAGAGAAATGGGGATATGAGTATTGGTGGTGAGTTATTTGTTTTTTTTTGCCATAACTATGTATTCAAATGACTGTCGGCTGGATGGTTACCTTGTTAAATAATTATGAGTAATCATAGTACTCTTAGGTACTTAGGTACTCTTAGGTATTTCTAGAGTAGTAATACTCTAAGAGTACTCGGATGATGGGTGAGTATAGTCGTATTTTTAATTATACGAAGCTAACTGACAGTAGCTAATGTCACTTTGTAAAATAATGTTGTCATATTTAAAGTAATAGTGATGCGTTCAGTTCTCGGTCAGATGAATGAACAATGAGTGTGAAGGGTTAATCATTTCAAACTACAAAAGAAATAATAGAAATAATATTATTTCTATTTTACAATAAAATTGTATAAATGCGCTCTGATATAAGTTACTAGTGGTATGTAACTACAATCAGTTTTTTGACGGCTTATTACAAAGCGCGCGGCTACTAGTGCCAACACCCATCAACGTCGCGAGCGATTTTGTTCGTAATTCGGCTTCTAACCTCTGGTCTGAAAGCACGAATGTTTTCTTTTGCTCTCACGCTGTTTTGTTATTGTTTTTGTTAAGTTTTTCTTTATGTTGTGTTTATGGTAATTGTTGGGTATATTGTATATTTGCTATATTGTTTCGTACAAACAATATGGATCCTCAACCAAACACGTCAAGCCAAAGCTTGTCTCCATGAAAGAAGAGACCATGGATTGCTTTAAGCGTTACCGAAAAACTAATGAGACGAAACGTCTACAAACACGTATTTGAGGAGAAAGCTGCTTCACTATTACCTATTGAGGCTCCCGAAAAAAAATAATGTATTTCGAAAACAGCTAACATTTTGGGAATTGGTGTGACCTCAGTCTACAATGTATTAAAAGAATACAAAGAAAATGAACAATTTAAGTCTCCGGAGAAACGTGGACCGAAACACTGTTTCAAAGATAAATTATTAACAATTTTTCAAACAGATTTATGACAATTTTTCAGACAGACGCTAAAAGCGACAATGATTTTTTTATCTCATGATGAATAAATAAGCGAAGTTTTTTATTTTTATTACCTAACTATATTATGTTATATATTGTTATATTTTATACATATATAGTTTCAACTACATGATGTATTGTAAATAGAACAATCTTAAAAGATTCCTCGCAATTTTTTTCTTTATGTTTAAAATACTCGGTATTCAGTATAGGTATATATTATAGGAACACGGTCGTTGAAAACCTGTGCCCGATATCGGCAGTTTGGCACACTAACTATTCACTAGACTAGACAATCGAGGCAATCCCATTAATTCAGGAGTTTTTTCAATTATTCACTTTGTCACAACACTATTTTTATTTCATCAAATACTGACAACACAGTAAACGTCAGTTGACTTCGACTAATTAAAAATACGACTATAGTGTGACTGTACTGCGCTCTTTCTTAAGATAAGAGATCCCTTACCAGCAAAGGTACGATAATAATATGCCTGGACAATTCACACTTTTATTGGGACTAGATGATCTTTATCTAGTCCCAAGCTAAGCCAAACTATGTGTTATGCGTACAAGACAACTTATATAATTACTTGCTTATTTTTTTTTTAAATAAATGCATCTGCAGAAAACACTTACGTTGATGAGAGGTTTCGTTAAGTAATAAATTAGTGCTAGTTGGTAGTTTGTATTCACACATTTCAACTTGAAAAATGTAAACTTATAACGATAATTTAAAAGAGCAACACACAAGTTTCTCGCTCGTTCTTGTGATGAGACAACTTTCCGAATGAGCGATTAAAAAAATAGTTATGACTATTCAAGTGCTTACATTAAGTTTACTCGAATAACGGATTTTGCATTGTATTCTAATTAGATACACCGCAAACATTAAGCCCGAACCGTCCGACGGCGACGGAGGCCGGCCTCGAGCCGCTGGACGTGGACCCGCCGTCGGCCGCCACCGACCCCACCGACCACACCGACCACACCGACCACACCGACCACACCGACCACACCGACCCCATCGACCACACCGACCACACCGACCCCGATGTCATCATGAACGACGGCACCAGCGAGGTATGTTCACTAAACGTTAGCATTCCCGATTTTTATGTCATTGGCATTTATTTATTTCTTCAGAATAACTAAGCTGCCTTTACACGATAATTCTTTCACACGCAATCGAGAGTGTACCTGATTTAACGCGGAAAGCCAGCGAGCGCAATGTGTGATTGTATTTTATGGTATTTTTCTGTAAGCACTCTTTCGCGCATGCACGTATGTTACAAGTCATTTCACTTTCTTTTAAAATCTATCTACTATAATCTATCTACTTTCTTTTAATATCTATCTTCTATTTTATACCATACTATTTATTTTCCAAAGACACGTTTAGGATTTTAAATTATAAATAAATCAATAATCGTCTTTGATCTATAGTCAGATGTCTTCCATTTTGGAATGATAATTAATTATTACAAAAAGGCGCTACAGTACGTACGATTGTCGAACGCGATCTGGCGGCGCGTGCGGTCTTTGTTCACATTTACATGCACATTATTTCCTCAATAATGGCCGATTCACGCGTGAAAGAGCGTACGTCCAATCCAAATATATACGTGAAAGAAGTTGTAGACCGTCGCTAGATGTTACATAATAAGATATACATGTTTCAGAATGGTTCTATGCAGGTGGAACCCAGTAACAGTCCACTTAGTACAGATATGATGGTTGAAACTACCGAACCTTTGGACGGGGCTGAAGAGTAAGTCAACACATAATATTTATTCTTCTAATATATAAAATTCTCGCGTCGCGGTTACATGTTACCATACTTCTCCAAACGGCATTATCTCTTCTGATTCTTATAAAAATTTGGGTAGGTCTGAGAATCATACTATATTTTTCATATCCCTCAATGATATGAGTGCCCCATCCGCCCCTTAATATTTTTTTCTGACAATCAATCATTTATTTGATATATAATTTTCTAAATTGCTAAATTATGGTGATACAAGAAATGTAGAATTGATATGTGTTTGCAGGAGGAATATTGCAGTGGTTGATTTGTTTTAAATTGAAATAAAAATAATATTTTGAATGTATTGTACGTTGATTTTAATAATGACACCACGGAATGTTCGAGGAGTTCAAAATTGTATATAAAAGAACATCGATGTTCTGTGCCTGACGTTCGAAAGTTGAAATTTGAAATTTTATTTTTAAATAAAGTATAAGGCTATTTGCGATCGCAAATATCATGCTTGGTTCTATTTTGACTGTGGAACTTTCATCGTTTATCGATTGATTAATGAAGCCGTAGAAGAGTGAATCCGTAACAAAACATTATACTATTTACTTACGTATTTTTTGTATATATTTATTATACAGAAGACATCCACTATAATATAAATGATATTTATTTTAGTTTCATAGTTTAGTTACAAATTTAGCATTAGGATATTTAATATGGGCATACAAGTTCTAAGGATATAATTCTAACGCCGCAGCGGAGTATTGCCGCAAGGTGGGCAGGTAGGCGAGTGTGACGAGGGTGGAGAATGTGGCGAGGGCGGTGAGGGTGGCGACAGTGGTGACAGCTCCCACTTGCTGTGCGCGGAGGACCTGGTGTTGCTGTGCGACCTGCTGTACCTGCCGTTCGAGCACGGATCGCGCGGGCTGCGGCTTCTGCATGACTTCCACTGGCTTGCTTGCCATGCTGCCAGCGTTCTGCCTCGCCCTGATAAGCCCCAAGAGGTCAGATCACTCTATTTATTCATATTTTTTATATTATTTTTTAAAAATTCAAATATGGAACACGATATTCGAATGTCTTAATTGTGGGTGAGCAGACGAGCGAGTGGATGCGGCGACGGGCGCGGTTCGCGTGGTGGACGAGACGAACGCGGCGGCTGGCCCGCCGCCTGGCAGCCGCCGCCAACGGCGAGCTCACCGCCGAGCTGCAGCCCTACGTCTGGGAGCTGTGCGCCGTACTCGCGCTGCTCGACGGCTTCGTGCGCTGGCTCGGTGCGTACTATCACAATGTCGATCCTAACTGCCGAGCTGCTGTACTATTTTTAGCAAAATCCCTGTAAAATTCTTTTATTACACTTTTAGCCATAATTACACTGAGTTCTATTATTATTTTAGTAATCATTACGTTACTTATGTTTGATTTTGTTTCAGAATTGGGCAAATTTCCTCCAAATATTGCTTCGTACACACAAGGAACTTACACATGTAAGTATATTTTATATTTCAAAGGGCAATTATGCATGCGTTTCTGTCGAGCACTTATTTTAAATGATGACATCGACTGAGAGAGTCAAAATTGTTTATCCGGCTCGATGGACTAGCTTGGAAATGATTGTTCGCATGATGGGTTTTATCGACAGGGTTCTCGAAGGGGTGGCGCGAGGCATTCGAGAGCGGCGCGCAGGAGCCTTGGGTGTTCCGCGGCGGGCTGGCGGCCGACCTGCGCCGCCTGCTGCCCGTGGAGGGCGCCGCGCCCGACCCGCCGCGCGCCCCCGCCGCGCTGCCGCTGCCCCTGCGGCCCTACGCCGCCCGCGACGAACGCGCGGTACTGCTCTCTCTCTCTCTCTCTCTCTGTGTCTCTCTCTAGCGGCGGGCTGGCGGCCGACCTGCGCCGCCTGCTGCCCGTGGAGGGCGCCGCGCCCGACCCGCCGCGCGCCCCCGCCGCGCTGCCGCTGCCCCTGCGGCCCTACGCCGCCCGCGACGAGCGCGCGGTACTGCTCTCTCTCTCTCTCTCTCTCTGTGTCTCTCTCTAGCGGCGGGCTGGCGGCCGACCTGCGTCGCATGCTGCCGTGGAGGGCGCCGCGCCCGATTCGCCTCTCTTTCTCTCTCTCTCTCTCTCTCTCTCTCTCTCTCTCTCTCTCTCTCTCTCTCTCTCTCTCTCTCTCTCTCTCTCTCTCTCTCTCTCTCTCTCTCTCTTCTCTCTCTCTTTTTCCGCAACAATATGCTACATTATGTATATAACACATGTTACCATATTAAAATATCTATAAATATAAATACCTTTGATGGTATTTTTGAGGCTGGGATAATGTTTAGTAACCCTTTCAATTTTTTATTCACAGGTATGCGCCATTTGTCACAAGACATGTCGTGACGGCTCCGACTGCAGTGACCTATTCCCTAGCGATTTACAAACATTACCTGCTGATAGGTAAGCGAATGATTTTCTATATTTAACAATACATTTCTAATGACATAACACATTTTTTTACATGTATGTATTCATGTTTGTATGGAACAAATTATTTGAGTTTAAAATTTTACTTTACAGATTAGTAGTTCCGTTCCTTACGTTAACTCCTGAGTTATGTATGGTGATCGAAGACGACCAGGAATGCCTATTGAGAGATTGCGACAACGCTGATGGCGAAACGAGCGACTGCGGCGTCAAACATGAAAATAGAATTAATGGTACGTAAATAAATTCATCTCAATTCATTGTAAGTGATTATTGGAGTGGTCATTCGTTCTTTCTCCCTTTATTTAAAAAATATACATAACAGGAGTAAATATATAGATTACTTTATTTACAGGAACGAAACCAGAGATAATTGGTTACGCATGCGCAGCTTTGAATAGTAAAGACTTTTACAAAAAGCAGGAGATCGCATGGATACCAGAGATGTGCAACAAATATCCAGAGTCGCTGATGGAGAGAGAGGATCTCAGTCAAGCAGCCAAGGTTTGTAGATTTTACATATCTCATTAATTTTGGCCATATATTTTGTTGTGAATAATGTTATGACAAAAAGGTTATGGCCCAGATCATATGGAATATCATGTATTCAGTTCAAGTTGAGAGATGTTTTTTTTATTTTCTAAATATAATAGCGTCTCTCCTTCCTTGGTTGGCAGGACTGCATCTGGCACTTCCACCAGTTCTCGCGGCTGGAGCGCGCGCCGGAGAGCGTGACGAGGGCGCACCCCGCGCTGCTCACGTGCTGCGTGCTGCCGCCCCCCGCCTGCCGCGACCCCCTCGCGCCCGCCCGCCTGCTCACCTGCCTGCTGGCCGCGCTGCGGGCACACGGTCGGTACACGCTCCCCGCGCTGCTCACGTGCTGCGTGCTGCCGCCCCCCGCCTGCCGCGACCCCCTCGCGCCCGCCCGCCTGCTCACCTGCCTGCTGGCCGCGCTGCGGGCACACGGTCGGTACACGCTCCCCGCTGCCGCCCCCGCCTCGCTCCCCGCGCTGCTCACGTGCTGCGTGCTGCCGCCCCCCGCCTGCCGCGACCCCCTCGCGCCCGCCCGCCTGCTCACCTGCCTGCTGGCCGCGCTGTGGGCACACGGTCGGTACACGAACGCGTTGCTCACGTCTCTCTTGCCACACGGTTCGTATATAATCAAAAGCTGCTGTTCACTACTCCACTTGTCCAATCGCAGAAGGTATGTACACACTTTGAAATAATCGTTGAACATAAGACAGGTATGTTACATAATCATAATTTTAAAGCGTATCTCATTAAAGTAGCAAAGGAGGAGTTACCTGAGTTAGTTCGACTAAAATTTGTAAAGCTATGAATGGAAATAGCTTGACATTTTTGGTACTGATTACTTTTGCTACGCGATCTGTACTTATCTACTCAGTACTATTATCAGTATGATTAAGTTTTGGTAAGTATTAAAATGTAATCGATTACTATCCAGTAATAATACTCTTATAACAAAATGTCAATTTCGATTTGACTTTATGCATGGAAAATCGATATCTGTGTATATGGATGTATACACGGGTATGATACCACGTGTCCACTTGTATTTGCAGGTGCGAGCGGCGTGCACGCGTGTATTAACGCGACGGACCACTACCTGCACCAGTTCTACAGCAAGCTGGGCTTCGTGGAGGTGCACCGCGGCGGCGCGGGCCGCGTGTACCTCGCGCGCTCCTTCTAGCGCCGCGTGCTGCGCCCCCTCCGCCCCCTGCGCCCCTTCCGCCCCCTGCGGCCCCCGCCGGTGGTCCGCGCGCCGCCCCCCCCGCGCGCCCCGCCGCCGCCCCGCCCCCCGCTGCGGCCGCCGCGCCCGGCGGGGCCTGCGGGACCCGCGCGACCCGCCACAAGGAAACACACGCGGAAGCAGAGGTAAAACAAGTGAACATTTGGTATGCAAATCGTGTAATCTGCAGTATGACTTTAGACTATAGAATCGTGATCAAATTGAAATAGTGTGGAATAGATTTGTTTTATCATAAATACTATCTATTAGGATCCCGTATGCTTGGAACCTATGCCGTATAAAGCTCCTAGGGATGTATTTCGTTCCTATAATCCACCTTTTTAAGAGATGCGCTAATCGAAGTCCAAGAAAATGGTAGTCGCATTTGGGAGCAATCTAACAAATGGACGACTGTATATCAGCAGCTTAAATAAATGAACTTTTTATTTTTATGTTTAAAAAAAGAATAGAGTTTTTTCGTGTTTTCCTTCTTACATGCCGCTATATTCGTATTCTCCTCCTCTAACCTATTACAATATTCTGGAGATAAAAATGAGTGGTAATAATTGCACAAAGCCGTGGTAAGCGTTTTACTTATATTTCTGTGACATTTCTATTTAAATAGATTTGTAACATACACTAAAGAATCATTCGACATATTTTAATTTGATTTCGACGCAATCGTGTTCTGAAGGTAACCTGTTTGAAACGTTTATTCTAGTCGGTAATTTGAGAGAGAAAATTTCAATATGCAGAGTACAATGGGAACATTTCTAAAAAGTTCTTAGATGATGCTCGTTATTTTTTTAACCATCTTATCTAAGCATAGGAACAAGAATATCTCCCATACAGATGACCACTGAGAGAGATTTTAAAATATGCAGAGTACAATGGGTATATTTCTATAAGGTTCATAGATTATGCTCGTTTTTTTATCAACCACCTTATCTGATTTTTTGTTTAGGATCCCAGTTGATATTTTTGGAAATGTTGATACACTATTATACATAAATATCTGCAATAATAATAATCTCAGGACAATTTACACAGCGCCATCTAGACCCAGATTAAGATTTGTGTTATGGGTAATAGATAACTGATATAAATATATAGATTTTTTTTTCCTCAATATATATATGCAATAATATGTAAAAAATATAGCAATAAACAGTAAATACAGTTAATATGTAGTCTATAAAGTAATAGATACAGTCTATAAAGTAAAATACAGTTGTATGTATAGGATATTATTTACCACTTATACCATCTCAATATGAAGGTTGCTGTCAAATTATTTGATTTCCTTTGTACAGGGTATATAGTATTTGAATATAACAGAACATAATCAAATTTATTACAACACATAATAATGATGAGCTGTGAACATCATCATTATTATGTGCATCTAAATAATTATAGCAATAGTTGTTCATGTACGGGATTTTCATTTAATGTTAGACATAGACACCTATGCCTACATAAGTGTACTATGTAAATAAACTAGCTTTTAAAAATAACAGTTGAGTTTCTTGCCAGTTCTTTCCAAATGAATCTGTATACTGAACAGGACAGTAGGAACAAATGAATACAAAAACATCCGCAAGCAGTTAAAATGTCCTACATGAATTATTTTTGTGTTGATTTGATTTATATCAAATCAATTGTAATAAGCGTTTGGTGTTTACATTACAACAATTATGGAATTTCATGTCCCCTGATGTCATTCATTCGTTGATAAGAAAAATATACTTACTAAATGCAAGTATACTCTATCGTGTAAACAGGCCCTTAAAAAACAAGTAATTTTGTATGCTCTAGGATTAAGACATGAGATACTTTACAATATATTTTCATAACAACTTTACACGATATATGAGCTACAATAAAGATATTTGTAAAAACAGTCATCACTTCGGTCACAATATAGTTTTGTAGATTCTATATGGAATCTATGAACTTTCTTAGTACTTAAATGAAGACTTATTTAATGCAGTGAAGTAATTTTGGTGTGTGGAATATATTTTTAAACTATTTAATTATAGAATTGGATACACGAAATTCCTTAATTATTGTAATACATATAACCAATACGGTACCCTGTATCAGGGAATGCTGATAATGTGATAGCACTTCACAATATCACGAATATGTCATCACACTTACATCAGCAATTTTATCACTCATCACAGTACCTAAATATATGTCCAAATTATGGACAAAGAATAGGAATAATACATTAAAGGAAACTAGAAGGAAAACGAACTCATATTTTCGAATTTAGACAAATAGTAATGTAATTTGGACTCTAATATCCGCATTTAACGCTCTCACCTGGACTGTTGTGTATCATTTTAGATTACATAGGATTTAGAGGTTCTCTTTTTGAATATCCCTCCTCTCTCCAACTATTCAAAGGTCAGTGGTACAAAGTAGATACAATATTTTTACCTAAATGCGGTATTTCTGAACCAATATTGCGTCATTATATTTTGTTACACGCAACGTTAGCATGTATGCAATCACTTGTCGATAGATTCTTACTTGCTCAAATCTAGCATATTCTTGAATGTTCTCGTATGTAACCTGTAGGCAGTGTATTAAAAATACAATTAGATAAGGATTTGCACTGACCACGTGTAAGCTCTAAAGTTATTAAAAGGGGGCCAGTTGGTTCTACAGAAATAGGCAGCTATTATACGAAATACTGCCATTACTTATTAATTCAGATTAGATGGAAACATTGTATGATATTAAGATAGACTGTAAGTTAGTAATTGTTGAAATTCAACATTTCTGTATAGATTCGTCGTTGGTATCTAAAGGGTTCACAAGTTTTTAAAAGGTTTATTTAAGATTTCTGATTTTTATTGCCCGATATAAGTCACCATAAATTATATACAGAGTGGAAACTTGAGCACTACCTCAAGCTGGAAAGTTGTATTATTCTAACAAAACTATGAACACTGCAAGTAACATTTGTTTTAATAACTGCAAGGTGTTTATGTTTAAAATAGACATATTTTATCCATTCTAATATTACTTCAATTTCAATGCTCTGCATAAAAACACGTTATAAAAACACCTCTGAATTCCTTTTGTTTCCTAAGAGCTTGGATTAACTATTTTCGATAATCAAAAAGCAAACAATCTCTTTAAATGAACAATAATCTAACTCGTAAGTCTTAACGATAATATTGACAGTATTATACAATTATCATGTTTCTACACATAGCTTTCCAGGATGAGCACTGGCCGAAAAGATTTCACTCTGAATATTTTTACCTCCTGTGCAAGCAAGCAACATAAGCATTTATAATGTAGAAGAATTTAATTACTATAAATAATATTTTATTTTAAATCGTTTTAATCAAACAGTGCATTTAAAATTTATAAACAGGATTTTGTTTTGATTTCAATTAGATTGGTATGTCAATAAAATCCTTCCTATTAAAACTTAAAATGATTTCTTCCAGTAAGTAATAAATAGTTATTAATTCCCCTTTTTTAATGTGGACCCGTTGGTTTGGATAACATTTCCTCTAAGTGGACTTTTTAGATGAATTCCATTCAGTTGTTTTGAGATTATAACTATTAAAAGTTTATGTACATTATAATAATATAATAAAACTAGCAGAACGTGTTTATCTCAAAATAATTGTATTGGAAACACTTGATCTGATATCCATATCACTGTATATAAACACATTAATGATAAATAATTATTCCTAAGGTATTATAAATGTCAATATGCTATAAATATTTAATATTACAATAAATATGACTATACAATGTATATTGCATTGATATCTGCTTCTTTAGTTACTTATATACAGTTTATTAAGGTAAGATGTACCCGATGATTCTTTTGACGTTCGAAAAATGTTAGAACGTATTCGCTATAATAAGTAGAACCAGATTTATAATGAATACGAAAAGATATAAATTTTCTTTGAAAATACTATAAAAAGTTCCGCCTCCATGTCATGCAAGTGTGCTGTACATAACGGACGCGGTGCTATACACGTAAACTTAAGAATGTTTCTGTTATAGCGAGTAGGGTTACTATATTTATATTTTCTTTTTACTTCATCAAAATAACTCGGGATTATTGATAATTTTTGAATTACGAGTCGCACCAGAAATAATAATTCTAATATCTTCCTTTAACCGTTTCATGATTAGGTTAGATTACAATTAACATTTATTTATTTATAAAAAATTAAGAACTTTTAAAATAATGAATAAACACTCAGCCAAATATATAAAAGAATTAAAAATAAACATTTTAATATCTATGGAGCTGTAAGCAGCTATTTCTGCCATATTTTTTCTACATGATAAATAAATCATTTGGTACATTAAAAACTAAACTGAATAATAACTGATGATTCAGAATATTAATTTAGTTTAATTTTATTATAGTAAATGTTTCCTATTTTTTACACGCACAATTATAATTAAACAAATGTAGTAATATTTATTTTATAGAGATTTATTTATACTCCATACGTATAGCTTAGCTGTAGTCCCTGAGTTGGTGTTTTACGTGTCTACCAAGTATATATATATACATACATATACTAAACAACATTTATTTAAAAGAGCAACACGCAAGTTTCTTGCTCATTCTTCTTGTGATAAGTCTGCGTTCCGAATGAGTGGTAGAATCAAAGAAATAAGTGTATTCAAAAGTGCTTACATTAAGTTTATTTGAATAAAGATTGTTTCTATCTCTATTTCTGTATGTATATATTACAAATTAATGTCATATTTTTATAGTAAAAAATACTTATCAACAGGTAACATTATAACAAAATGTAAATTGGTAAAGACTAGAATTTGCTTCATGTCCAATAAAACGAATACGTATGTGGTTGTACTTTATGAGACGTAAAGCGTAAAACACACAAGTATGTTAACATCATAAATGTTGGTAGAATAATGTTTATTGTAATATAAGGTTTGGATGACGCCTAGTCAAGAATTGGTAAAGACTGAGTAACGTGAGATGGATTGTACATGTATATTGTGATAATGTAATATATTGATCGCTGGTACATTCTTGATCAAATATTTGATAAAAACATTGGTTGTAACGAAATGATATTACATATAGGACTAGAGCCACAAAACAAAGAAGTAGGTTTTTGTTCTGTCTCTAGAACTGTGGTTTGAAACATTTATTCACAGCTGTAGGCTCTAGTAATTTTAGTCGATAGAAACGCATATTTTTTAAGGTCATTTAGAAAGGCAAACAAGACGGTCCACCTGATGGTAAATGGTAGCTATCGCTTATACATAAAGCACCACGGACTTCGTAATGTGAAGTTCATACCACTCATGTATTCCAAGATGACACGATATCATATTGGAATTTTACTGCCTTATTCTTTATTGCACTATAAAGAGTGTACAAGAGGCGAGCTTAATGCCATATGTCATTCTCTACTAGTACCACCTTATCTCATCTTTAAACGAAACACAGTTTACAAAGAAGTTGCCTTGAGGCTACAGGAAATGGGAGAGACTGAGGTACCCACGCAAATTTCATACAATATCTCTGGTAATTTTGATCGATTGAAAATTGTAGATCATTATCGTTATATCCAGTGTATAAGATGTCTATAAGATGAGCAAATCTAAAGTTGTAATAATATTTTAATCTTTTATACTATACCAAGCAGTTGTTGTTGTAAATGAGATGTATAAACATTTAAAATTATATTTAAATGTTTTAAATATGGCTAATGGCAACACGACGCCGGAGCCAAAAGAAGAGAAAAAAAAATGTTTTAAATTTGACGCGTTCATTATTTATACGTACAATTAGGAATTATCACGGGTTCTTAACATAGTTTAATGAAAAGAAATAAAGTGTGATAGGATCTCATTTTCCTAATTGTATGTATAGATATTACAATGGTTTATTTTTTCAGGTCCATAGGTCTGTGAAATCTATTTAATCACATTACTTTAGGGCCAACCCAAATTGTCAATGTATTTAATTATATGCATTGCTGTATGGAAATACAGAAAAATGAGAAAATTTAATATTTCTTATAAACAAATCTTAAACAGTATTGTATTGTTTTTAATTATATTTATTCTATAATTACAAACATTATTTTAGTTTAAACGGGCTATTTACCGTGTTTATGTTATTTATAAGTACTAGCTATTTCAATGCTTTTGTAACAACGGTAATTTATTTAACGGTATTTTATTCTAGGTTCCATTAATCGGAAAGTTTTGTTAAAGAAGAGTATTCGAATATTTGTATTCTTGTCTAGGAGTGACAGCGAGACGGAAAACGGGAGAAAGTGATTTAACGTCCGGTAGCTAGATTTCTTGAAAACAATTTCATTGTATTGGTATCTAAAATTAACACTGTATAGGTTTAATGAAATTTCTTTATTTTGATTCGTTTATAACTAAAATAAAACATGTAAGTGTGTCTTGTCATAATTGTACAAGTTAAGCAATTAGTTTGAAAGAATAAGATGCAGTAGAAGCAAAAATAATTATATTTGAGCTTGATGTCTTTATAAACAACAATTTGAATAGTTTTTTTTCCTTATACATGATTCATTTAGTTAGAATTCTTGTAAAAGAATGTACGCTAATTACAAATCATTTTTAGCAGTCAACAGTTGATATGTGAAAATAATAGTTTATTGAGTAACATTGCCTTTTTACTATCGCTACCAAATTGTCACTTATTCAAATATAGAATTTCAAAGTATAGAAATAAATGCCTATTTTGCTATCGCTACCAAATTATCACTTATTCAAAAATAGAATTCGTAATTTAAATTTCAATGTATACAAATAAATGCCGAGTTACACGTTTGCCACTTTTTATAGACCCCAAAGCACTACAAACGCTTTTAAGACACTGAATGTGACAGTGTGACAATGCCATAAGGTGATTGTGGCTTATATATTTTTTATACCTCTGGGTATTAAGACCGCCATGTACAACTTCAATTGTTTATTTGTGTATTAAAGTTTTAATAAATAAATAAACAAAATATATTTTTTACGAAAACACGTACCTACACTCATAGTATAGTTTAACATAAACTTTGAAAAACGTCTGCAATATTGTGCTAGTTGCTGTGGCAAGTGTGTAAATCCAGCATCATAGTTGTGTTTTGTGGTTGTACCTATTTATTTTCACTGCAATCCATAGTATTTGTAAGAGATTAGATTTAAGATACAATTATATTATTTGCGTTATTATGTAACCGTCGCGAGTTTATTAACGGATATTATTTGTTATATTTATAAAAATAATTTATGGTGCCGGCCGTCGCGATGATAAATCAATAAAACATTAAAGAAATATTAATTTTTTTTATTTATGTAACTGTGTTTAATACGTTGAAGACCGCATTAAAAAATCGTATATCCACGTAGGGATCATTTTTTTTTTTGTTAATTACGTTTTTTTTTAATATGATAATTTGTGGTAGACATTATTTAACCCCTAGATTTATTTCAATTAAAGTGCCCACGGGTGATCACACGCTAGTCTTAACGTGTAAATTTAATTTCATTGCGGTGAACATGCGGTCTTTAACGTGTTAATATTTAGACCGTATTCTAACAAAAGAAAGCTTAGTATAAATTTGCTATCCAAAAGTTGTTAGTAGGAAAGGCCTACCGAATTACTCAAAAAAGAAATTTAGTACCTACAGAATAAAGTATAATATGGGAGATTACTCTGCTGCTTCTCGCCTGCGCCTCATAAGTAGTGCTGCTCTTTCTTAATCAACTGTTACAGACTTAACATTCGATGTGGAAAGCTCCATTAGTTTCTGTTTTATCTCTGATATCTGCAAAAAATATTTACATCAGATTATCCTCGATCGAGTATATAGAGATTGTATAGGGGCGCATACAAATATCCTTACATCCTCGTAGTTTGTTACTCTTTCACACAAAAACTACTAAAAGGATTTTGATGAAACTACAGTGATATAGCATATATATCGGAATAACATATAGGCAAGAATTATTATGTAAATTGGGCACAATATAACGATAAATGCAAGTGTAATGCAGACAAAGTTGCGCAGGTCAGCGAGTCATTCATATGATTTTATTCACCGATGAGAAAAGACAAGAAATGTTAAACAAGACGATTTCTTCACTGGACAGTTCTCTGCCAACAGATTGCCTCAACAAATCTGCTATAGGCTTGGTGAGCCGATCGCAATATTTTCTATGATTAAGAAAATATCCTCAAGATAAATAACATTACAAATAATAATTAATAGTAACTAAACTAACCAATGCACATCGCCACACAGCGCCATCTAGTCCCATACACAAGAAGACAGTAAGCTCAGTTTCTCATTTGGGAGCTGATATGCAGGTATATACCACTACCAGTATAATATCTTAGAACTATTCACACAGCGCCCTTTAGAGCTAAGCAGAGCTTGTGTTATGGATTCAGGGCAACAGTTTTAAATACATGCATTTTTTTGTAAATACATATTATTATATAATATAGAAATTACCCAGACTGATATGTTGTATCGAATGTTTGTATTCCGTCCTCTCTAACTTACTTCGCACTTCAATATAACTCAACTGGTTAAATTAACTGCTAAACGTGGATGTAACAGAATTACCCATGCTGACGTACTACAAAGTCCCTCTGGGCGGTACGCATTTTTTTATTATTTCTTACACAATATGCTAAACTATAATAAGAGTTACCAACGAAGACTTTCTACAAAGTCTCTGCTTGGTCTTTCTATTTTTTTTTTTATTCTTAATGCATAATAACGTGTGCAAAAGGCGAACATTATGCCATATGGCATTCTCTACCATTCTCTATTCTTACCTTTTGTATTTCGGTCAGCAACGCTTTCTGTTCAGTTCTTGGAGTCATTTCCTCTCTGTTCAAATCGATGGCTTCCAAATTAGCAAACAGCTGTTTTATCTTCATAGCCAAGTGCACGTCATTATTACTCTTCCTCGGTACAGTTGGTTTGGATTTCCTTATCAATTTCTGTCTATATTTATTTGGGAGATCCTTCTCTATGTCCTCCCTATTAAGGAGAACCATGTAGTCAGGGTTGGTGTCGTAGGGGTAGTTCTTTGCTTCCAGTTTGTATGTCCCATCAACAGATTGCTGACGGATTCTGTATTCTTTACGCCAGTTGCGTAGAAGTTCAACGTTTCTAGAAATTAAAAAATATTATACTCCTTACTAATCTTACTAATATAATATTATCTTATCTGTGCTAATATTATAAAAGTGAAAGTTTGTAAGTATAGATGGTTGGATGGATGGATGTTTGTTACTCTTTTACGCAAAAACTACTGAACGGATGTTGACGAAACCTAACAGTAATGTAGGTGATACCTCAAAACAACATCTGTTTCGAAACTTTACAGTAATATTATACATCAGAATAACACTTTACTATAATTTAAGAAGATATGTAAATTGGCTGAAATATAAGCATAAAAACTTCAAGATAGAAACTAAACATATCGTAAATTTGAATCTGGCCGATATATATTACAAATTTATTTCATAACGACACGGCGACGTTGACAATCATAAAGGTATAGGTACTATATTATTACTACTAGCTGTTCCTGCGACTTCGCCCGCGATTTCATTTCAGAGATTAGCCGGAATAAACAGACAGACAGACAAAAATTGTAAAAAATGTTATTTTCGTTTATGTTGGTACCATATTTATATTCATATGCATGTTATAAAAAACGGTTATTTCAATATTACAAACAGACACTCCAATTTTATGTATATGTATAGATAGATTATTTTTATGTTTGTATTAATTTCGGAAACATACTACCTTCTATCCTGCAGTATCTTCTCTCTGCGTTCAAGTAAATCCTTATACTTCTTTAAAGCCAGATCTTTCAAGTAATTCCGCTTCATTCTCTGATCCTGCTCAACCTTACTGCTAACACGCGGTGGACTAACGTATTTTGAACTTTGACAATACGACGGTAAAGTCTTAAATCGACTTTTCGCCAATTTCGGACACTTCCCCTTTATTTTACCGTAGCAGTCGTCATCCGAGTCATCGCAGTCTTTCTCGTTTAATTTTATTAATAGTGTTTTCTCTTTTAATTTGTCTCCATGTATAACAGAGTTGTAGCTTAGAACTCCTTGACTATTTTCTGTTAAATTCACGCTGCTTAATGTATCCTCGGATCCTATATATGATTGCGCAAACATATTGTCTACGTGTTTGTCGTATAAAAATTTAAGAATCTTGGAAATTCCAGCATTTAATATATCCCTCGGTGGGTACATTATTGGGTTACCTTTCAATTGTAGTACTTTCAGGTTTACGGTACCCAGTTCATGAGGCAATACCGCCAGTTTATTGTTTTGTAACAGCAAGTGGGTGAGATATTGATGGTTTTGTATAGTTTTGGGAATGTCTGTCAATTGATTGTCCCGGAAATCTAAATACATAAGATTGGGTAGAGATGGAAAGAAGTCATCGGGTATTATGGTTATTTTGTTATTTTGGAGATATAACACCTTAAAAGAATAGGTAAGCTATTACATTCATTACTACAAAAGAATAAATGTAGTCAAAATAAGTAAATTACCTACTCGAAATACTTACATTTAGTACATTATTTTTTATTGTAGGTATACAATCCAAATTAGATAATGACAAATTCAATGTTGTCTCTTTATTTAATTCCTCGTCATATACATTAGGTGGTGGATTAAAAGAAGAGGATGTTGATTCAGACATTGTTGCTACGAATAATATTTAATCAATAAAGCATATATCATTTATTTTAAAATATTTGAAAATGGCGCGTATATGTAAGCTAGGACACACGTAGAGCCTCTAGATGTCGCCACCATGTTATTACAAACATGAAATAAATATACCGGCTATTTAATGGTTCAATCATTCCATTAGAACAATATTCACAATAATTTGTTTAAAAAACTTTTGAGGAACTTTTTCTATATTAATTTAACTTAAATTCTGTAAACTAATTATAATTACATTCATTTGCTGTTTACTACACATAGTTCTTTTTCCAGCCTGTTATCATCACAGATTGACTGAAGACCGTTATAATATAATAGTGCCCTCTGTGGCAATATATTGTATTATAAATTTATAACAGTATTTTCTAAGAAAAGCAAAAATACAGTGAAAATTTTAAATTTGTTTAAATGTTTATACTAATTACACAACGTGAAATTTATAACAATAATTCAGACATTAAATGAATTTGTAACATCCTGTCAAAAAGGTCTTACTTATACAGCGTCCATAGTTCCATTTTATATTGTACGTATTGCATGATATACACTTCTTTGGGAAAGTGCTAGAAGTATTATTAATAAGAGAAATAATATTTTAACATGACTTGATAATTACATGTTGTTCGACAGAATTGAACTCAATTTTATGTCACTCATTGGATCACTGATCTAGTCGTTGAATGCCAAATACGTCAATTGAATTGAATCTCTCCTGTCATTCACGTCACTAGCATAGTTACAAGATGGCGAACGTTCGGGATAGTGACACATCTTTGTGGCTCCACAATAAACTTGGAACATCGAACGATTCATGGACAAGTGGTTCAATTTGTACACAATTAAACGCTGAAGTTTTGAAAAATATCAAGGATTGTTTTCCAGATTTACAAACACAAGTTAAACTAAAATTATTGCTAAGTTTCTTTCATATCCCGCGCAGAAATGTTGAAGAGGTAACTTTTCTCTTTGGTGTTTTATGGTTTGCGTAACTGTATTGTATGTTTCGTCTCTGTCTTTTAGATGTAGCATACAGTTGGTCAGACAGAGATGTACTGTTATATTGTATGTAGTAATAGTTTTATTTGTTGTCATACAATTTACATGATAATAATTCAACAAATTTATGGTTTTAAATATTAAATTCGCGGTTTTTGTATTAAGCAATTGTTTTTAATAAATATGTAAATTCTACGTAACATATTTTGTCCCCAGTTTTTATTATTAAATTAGTATAACAATAATTTTATCTCGTATCTCAGCATCTTCCTATGGATGTAAAATCAAAACATTGTTTGTATACATACATTTACATATAGACAAAATTTCCGGCTGCGTTAGTTTCTAATAAAATCTATCATTTAACACTGTGTAAACATATGCTGTAATTATAACCTATAATTCATGGTGTATCTCAAGGTTTTCATATTATGGTGTAAATTATTAATAACAATTTTATTATCATATTCTATTAAAACCTATCAGTTTTAAGTATACATTCTTTTAGAAATTTGTTTAATTCCATAATAAATATACTCATAGATGCTACATATTTCAAATATTAACACAGTAAGGACAGTGAACCGCTAAATTTCTTATTTTGAATAATTTAATGTTAATGTAACTCATAAATTTGTTCTTTCATATTAAATGTGGTTGTACAAATAATAGCTGATATAGTATTTGCCTCTTGAATGATCCATCAGACACATCTATCCTCAATTGTCATGTCCATCAAGATTAAAATCAACATGGCACAAAAATTTTATACAGTCCCCAATGGTTTTGTTTTTAATTTTATGATTGTTACATTATTGTTTACATTTTAATATACCTATTTAATAATACATCTGAGTCATAATTATGATTTATTGTATATTTATACCAATTCACAAAATTTAAAAAAAGTGTCGGTTTGTAATTTCAAATTAATAGCTTTTCACTAAAGATGTGTCAAATTCATTGTGCAGAGGGCTATATATTAAATTTAGATTGTTTACCAGATACTACTATTGTTGTTTACCATTGTTGATATATGTGATTGTGGGCCTTATTGATACAGCCCAGGGGCTGGATATGAAGCTTTGGGTCGTATTTTTGAGGAGACTGTATTAAAGTATATTTGGTATTTACATATATAAATTAATTAATTGAAAGGTGTGTGTCTGCACAATAAAATTATGATGTAGGTGTTTTTCAGCATTCCTTCCCTCTCTACTGTAATTCTAAAAAACAAAATTGTTTAGAGATATATTGTGAAACATGTATATTTGTTGCCTTTGGACAAAATTTTATCAAGTTTAATTTAATTATTGTAGAAAATAAACAATCTCTTTTAGACAAAGTGAGTCTTTATATATGTGTGGGTGTGTAATAGTTTTTTTTTTTTTTAATAAAAAATCTTGCAATTAGTCATATGGACTATAAGTAGATGTGATGTCTAGTAAATAACAGGTAGAGTGCCGTTTCCAATACAGCAGCACCTTGTTCTAAGTCAGCCTCCTGTCTGACTATCTTTGTCAAAAATCTGGCCTTTACTCTAATCGCGAAACATTTTTGTATTGTATTGTATGCAATTTTGTTTGGGTGCCTGTATAGTCGTAATTTGTATTTGTTACAGTATTCATTAATTAACCATAGAAATAGCTAGCAATTTATAGATCTCTATATGTCTGTATGTAATATTAATGGTATTTGTCTCATTTCCAGTGGAAAAATGAACTCGAAGAGATTATTGAGGTTGCCGCCGTCGACTCTGATTTGTGGGTGGCGATGCTCGCCGAGGTTCTCAAAACATTTCCCTCGGCGGGAACTCTCAATACAGAGATAGCAGAGTTTGACGAGACTCGCCCAATATTCAGTGACATGATTGGAGAACTGAGGCGGGCGCTTGCCAAACATTCAGACCTAGGATTATTACCTCTTGAGTGCCTATATTTAAATAAGAATGCTTTAGTGTCTGTGGTAAGTTGAACTGAATAATTAACAGATTAGTTTAGAACAGTTTCCCAATGTAGCGCCCACACCCCAAGGGTGGAATTGATTTTTAAGGGGGCAGTTTAAAAAAGGACTTGACACACAACCTTCTCTCTCCTTTTGCATAAGAATTTTAGAAAAGCTATTGTAGGGCATGGCACAAATAAAGTTGTGGAACACTGGTTTACAAGTTATATAAGTGTAATAGTTTTAAGATGTAAATGTGTTGGCAATTAGTATAAGATTATATTGTTGAATTGAATAAATAATATGTAATATGACACCACCATTTACTAATTCAAGGTAATTACTAATAATAATTAGTTAATTACTAATTTACTAATAAGCTGTGGATGGTAAATTATGATGGTTTGTCTAGCTTTTCTTTGTATATTATTTATATATTTACAAAAAAAAATGTCTAGTAACACAAAAATGTCTAGTTACAACAGTTGTCTAGTAACACAAGCTCTGCTCACTTTGGGTAGATGACATTATGTGAATTGGGCAGGAGTATTATTTTCATAATTATTATGTCATATGGTGACACTGTGACATATTGTTTATACCAAATACTAAGACTATTGTATTGACAATTGCATATGCCTGCTTACTGTGCACTACCTACTAGTAAAAAAATTAGTGTTCAGGTATAATTCAATCCAGGCGTTTTTATTTAATGAAACCCCTGATCAAGCATTAGCATCAATCAATCAATGTCACGAAATTGTGGACTTAAACCACATATATGCGAAATTTTATGTCAATAAGTATAAAAATAATTTATTCATGTAGGACATTTTAGCCTCATATGAACATCAAGTTTTTTGTATTTATATTGTACATTACACTACTCACACTATAGTAGTACTTTAGTAGATTACTACTAAAGTAAACTAAAAAACAAAAAAGTATTAGAAATTACATTAACATGATTAAATTTAAATTACAGGTAGGCCAACAGGCAAATCCAGTGAAACATTTCACATTGAAACGCAAACCAAAGTCAGTAGCTCTTCGTAGTGAACTCCTAGCGAAAGCAACAGAAGTACAAGCCAATCAAAAGAAGGCGCAGGCGCCTACTGTCCCCGTTCGGAGTAGGGGCATGCCCCGCAAGATGACTGATACTAGTGAGTTTTAAAGTACAGTAATATTCTGACTAAATAATACAGCGCATATAACATCTATACTATTATTATAAAGTTGAAGAGTTTGTTTGTTTGAACGCGCAAAATAGTTCCTGAGGAACCAGTAGTTCCTGAGGAACTACTGGTTCAAAATGAAAAAATATTTTTGTGTTACATAGTCCATTTGTCAAGGAAGGCTTTAAGCTATATAACATTACGCTACGACCAATAGGAGCGGAGCTGCAACGAAAAATATTGCAAAACGTGGGGAAATTAAACGAAGTTGCGCGAGTCAGCTAGTAATAAATAGGGAGCAGTGTATTATTTTCTAAATAAATAATATAGTGCATGTAACATAATCAATTTGGCAGCGCTGTATTATTTATTAAATATTTAATACAGTGCATATAACATAATCAATTTGGCAGCGCTGTATTATTTATTAAATAAATAATACAGCGCATATAACATAATCAATTGCAGCGCTGTATTATTTATTAAATATATAATACAGTGCATATAACATAATCAATTTGGCAGCGCTGTATTATTTATTAAATAAATAATACAACGCATATAACATAATCAATTGCAGCGCTGTATTATTTATTAAATATATAATACAGCGCATATAACATAATCAATTTTGCAATCAATCATATAACATTACAACAGGCATTCGACCGCGTGTGGCACAAAGGCTTGTTCTATAAATTAAAAACCTCATTACCGAACACCATTTATATGCTCTTAAAGTCCTATATACAACATAGGATATTTCATGTTAAGTATGAAGATCACCTATCAGATTATTTTGAAATAAAAGCCGGAGTGCCACAGGGTTCTGTCCTTGGCCCAGTATTGTACACAATATATACTGCTGACCTTCCCACTACTAATGGTATAGTTACAGCAACATATGCAGACGACACAGCAGTGCTGTCATGTAATAGAGACCCACATATTGCATCTACAGAGCTTCAGAAGCATCTGAATGGAATTAAAGAATGGTTGAATAAGTGGAGAATTCAAGTGAGCACCACAAAGTCGGTCCATATCACATTCTCATTGAAAAGAGGAAATTGCACACCAGTATCCTTAGATGGAACTATTTTGCCACAACAAACGGTGGTAAAATATCTCGGAATGCATCTGGACAGAAGACTTACTTGGAGAGACCACATAAAAGCAAAAAAAAACCAAGCTGATAGAAAACTTAAAGACATGTACTGGCTGATAGGTAGACAGTCTAAATTAAGTCTGGAAAACAAACTCCTCATCTATAAGAGCATCATAAAACCAGTGTGGACATATGCAATGGAACTATGGGGATCAGCTTCACACTCTAACATAGAAATTCTTCAGCGCTTCCAAAACAAGGCATTAAAAACCATAGCCAGAGCTCCTTGGTTCATAAAAAACATTGAAGTACATACACATCTAGAAATTCCAACTGTAAAAGAAGAGATACAGAAAGCCTGTGGAAGATATAAACACAGATTAGCCGGCCATAAGAACCAGTTAGCTTCAAACCTACTGGATATAAATAACTGTCCATCTAGATTAAAAAGAGCTCGCCTTGCCAACATCTAAAGAAAGAAAGTAAATGAGATGGCACCTTACTGGAGGGGCCTCATCTCAAAAAGCCAATAACTTCAAAAAATCTGATCATAGCCGGAAGGGCTGATCGCAGATAGAGAGAGAAAAAAAAAAAAAAAAAAAAAAAAAAAATATATAATACAGTGCATATAACATAATCAATTTGGCGGCGCTGTATTATTTATTAAATAAATAATACAGCGCATATAACATAATCAATTTTGCAGCGGTGTATTATTTTCTAAATAAATAATACCGCGTAAATAAATAAATAATAAATTGCTAAAGACCAATATAACCAATGCACTAATGGTGTATAAAAACAAGGAAGTACATGATTATACATAAATCCTACATATGTAAACAACCTGACTACCAACTTAAGTCCTATATAAAAGCCATGTACTTAGTGTCCATTTCTTGTTCACCAGCACCACTAAAGGGTCTACCGTCACGGTGGGCGGGTCGCAGTGGTCGAGGACTGCCGCCTCTGCCACCGTTACCACCGTTACCACTACGAGCGCCGCCGCGCGCTGGCATCAAGCTGCTAGATATTACAGAACAGCCCGCCACGCACGCGCAGATCAAGAAGCGAAGGAAGCTCGGTATGCCGTACATTACTCTCCTGCATATAGAAATATAAATCTTAGTTTAAATATTAGCCCCATTATAAAAAAAAGAATAAATAAATTTTGATTAAAAATAAAAAATAAAATGTTAGGGGTGGACAATCCTTATCACTTAAGGATATGAAGAATAGATAGTAACCGAATCTCAGACGTACTGAATATGAATATAAAATTTCATAAACATCAATCAAACCGTTTCGGGATAGTATGGTAACTAGCATTGTGACAAAAGAATTTTATATGTAAAGATATACTTGAGCATATTGCAATGATCATTACATTGTTGTCACAATCATGGTAATTTCCGTTGCGGCAATAAGCCAGAAAGGTACTCTTTTGTTTCACAAACAGACTTTGTGACACAGAGAAACTCATGCTGTGAGTAACAACTAACAATTTTATATTAAAACAACCTACCATTAATATAATGACAAAATTCTCACTGGAATTGTGGCATTTATATACATATGTATTAATAAACAATTTTACAGAAATGGAGGAGGGATCAAAGAAACCGCCCGCGGCCGCTCCCCCTTCACCGCCTGCCGACTTCGCCAAAGGAACCTTCCCCACGCCGAAACAGGACGAACAACCAGCCAGTATGTATCTATACATCATAATTTATTTACTTACTATTATACTATTAGCTTTTATCAAATACTTGCAGGTATGAAAGATATTATCTTTTATTTCTATACAATGTGTAGTAAAGATCGCGTAAGGTTTTACAACAAACTATCAGAGTCAAATGTCGTGTTGTGTATTTATTTATTTTAATTAACATTTATTCTAAAGAGCAACACACAAGATCCTCGTTTGTTCTTCTTGTGATGAGTCTGCGTTTCGAATGAGTGGTTGAATAAAAATATATGACCGTTCAAAAGTGCTTGTATTGAGTTTATTTGAATAAAAATTATTTCTATTTTTATTTATTTTAATGATTTAAACAAACACTCAATAGGACAAACCCTTACTATCATTGCTATGATTAAATAAGTACATGTGTATTTTATTTGTATTACATTATATGGCCTGAACGTTCAGTTTCAGTCAGTGTAACTTGTTTTGAAATGTTCTGGATCTCTATGGTAGATGGCCATAAATAATATTTATTAAACAATATAGTATAACCGTGTTATGTACTGTAGCGAGTGCGATGGAGACGTCCGTGCCGCAGTCGTCTCCGCCGGCCGCCGAGCCCGCGCCGGAGCCCGAGCCGCGGCCGCAGCCCGTCGTCTCCAGCCCCATACTCGTGCACCAGGTGAAGACCCAACGCGCCCTATTCCTGTGGCTTGATGTGGAATGAAGCCAGTTTGGTTTCTAAACTTCTGAGGGAAGAAAATTATAACTCATAAGGATTTACTAGTCCCATTGCTAGCAATGTACTAAATAGGCAGGAGGTCGAGTTCCGAGTGGATCCTCTCTGGAAACCATCCTGGTTAATTCACAATGAGCCACTGACCTGACTTCATTTTCATTCCATAATTTTCCACTGGTGCCTAACTATCTGATTCTTAGCACAGATAGGTTGGATATTATTACATATATATACATACAAAAATATGAATCCCTAAAAAACCTGTTGTCTGCGACTATTATTTACGACCTCAGATACGGCTTCTGATAGTTGTGGGTTCGGTTCCTCGCACGATTAAAATATTTGTATACAAAACTATGATTGATTGTATTGTTCGTAGTAGATGGCGCGGCGTCAATTGTTCAGGGTTTATTATTATGTTGTTATTATACAGTACTTAATTTTTTTTTTAACAGACGACGGGAGCGAAGCCTCTGGTTATTGGGCAGCAGCCGAAGCTATTGATTGCTGGACAGGCGGGCGGGAAGCCGGTGCTGTTATCTGCTCAGAACATCCTCAACACATCCGCTGTCATCCTGCAGCCGGGCGGGAAGGCTGTGTTATTACAGAATATCAAGCCGGTTTGTATAGTTTTCTATTACATACAACAAAATTCAAATCTGTACTAATCAAAATCATCATTAAAATTATTATTTAATAATTATTAATTAAGTTGATATTTTAAAAAATGCGTCTCAAAAAATATATAATATGTACAAAAAACTTTAAGACTTTTTGTCTGTCTATTGTTTTTGTTAATCTCTCAAAGGGGATGGACCCGTTTTGATTGAACTCTTAATCGCAGACAGCTAATGTTTTGAGAATTGAATTAGAAAACTTTTATTTTTAAATTATTTTGTTTAATAATAAAAATACTTAATTTCCGCGCCTCGAAGTCGCTGGTAAGAGGTACAAAGTTTTTGCTTCACATATATATATGATGTTACAGGTGAGTCAGGTGAACCAGTCAGTGGTGCGGCCTCCGCTGCAGGCGCAGACCGTGCAGCAGCCAATACTGCATCACCAGCAGCAGACGGTGAGCATACTGAAGAATCATATCAACTATGATATGATTCTACTAACATTCTCCTCTTAGTGAATATAATATAATATAAGAGTGGTGCTAGTTAGGCAAATGATAGGTACGACATTTGAGTGTATACTGTCTCGTTTATTATTAAAATCAATGCTTCTATACTACTTACTAACGACATTTATCCTTACAATAATACACTATATATCATATCATCAGATATATTATGATACATAATATGAGTTGTCTAACATTATCCTTGTTGTGAATAGAATACACTATACGTCATATCATCAGATTTATTATGATATATGATATGAGTTCTCTAACATTCTCCTTATGGTGAATAGAATACAATATACATCATATCATCATATTTAGTTGCCGACAAGTGTTTCGGTTTAGTATGTACTACCATTTTAATATAATTAATTTTATAACAATATATATGTACATAGGAGAAAATCGAAAAAATTAAATTGAATTATAGAAATGCTTGGCGGGCCGCATAAATATGTTTAACGGGCCATAAGCAGCTGGCGGTCTGTTTGTCGCTCATCTTACAACCTCTAGGTGGTTGATAAAACCTAAATGAGTAATCCTACAACTAGAAGAGACTTTATAAGATGTGATTAATCTATTACAGGTCCAGATATCGCAGCCTGTGCAGCAAAACCAAACTGTACAAGCCGCAGGCGTGCAGCCGGTGCAGTCCGTGCAGCCGGTGCAGCCGGTGCAGCCGGTGCAGCCCGCGCCGGCGGCCGCGCCGCAGCCCGCACCGCTGCTGCCGCGTAGGGGACTCTCGCTAACGGTAAATACTACCTTTGTTACAGTCATATTCCAATATAATGTACACAGCGCGATATAATTCCAATGATATCCCAATATAGTGTACACAGCGCCATATAAATCCAATAATATCCCAATATAGAAAACACAGTGTCATATAATTTCAATAACAACCCAATATAGTGTGCACAGCGCCATATAATTCCAACAATATCCCTATATAGTGTACACAGTGCCATATAACTCCAACAATATCCCAACATAGTGTAAACAGCACCATATAATTCCACTAATATCACAATATAGTGTACACAGCACCATATAATCCCAAGCTAAGAGTTTTCACTATGGGTCTTAAACCTAAAATAACAAATTTTTATTTATTGTAAATATATTGCTACCGTTTTACATCCAATGATTGTGAGTTTGATTTCTCTCACGGTACAAAAAAATATATATATGGGTATGATTGTTTGTATTGTATATTATGTATGTATTAGCTACCTGCCCCGGCTTCGCACGGGTGTACATGAATAATACATTTAAACCTTTCTCTTAAATCACTCAATATTGTTGTAAACTACATTAAAATCCGTAGCGTACTTTAAAGGATAGACAGACAGCGGAAGCAACTTTAATTTATACTATACTATGTAAAGAATATAATAAGTATATATGTCAGTAGGTTAGTATCCATAACATAAGATCAGCTTAGCTTAGGACTAGATAAAGCTGAAATAACCTTTAACTGTTTATAGAAATCACAATGTAATGTAAACGTATATTAATTCAGATAGTCACAAGTTATAATTGTGAATGCTATGTTTGTTTCAGCGTGAACAAATGTTAGAAGCGCAAGACATGTTCCGGAACGCAAACCGAGTCACGCGGCCCGAGAAAGCTCTCATACTTGGCTTCATGGCGGGTTCGAGAGGTAAAGTATATTTAAATATAAAAAGGTCACCAGTTATGGGCTTGATCTGGATTATATTTATATATATTTAAATAAAATAACAAAGCAAACGTTTATCTAATTTAATTTTATATGAGACAAGACAGTTGACATATTTAAGTTGCGCGCGCAGCTTCGCATGCGCGCTGCCTATACAATATATTTATGTACGTATACAGCCATAAGGCCGTAACGGTATACTTAATATTTTACTCCGTTTTAACTTTAAATATTGGTAGTATTCTATAGCTTTTGTACTATATTTTGATACCGTCTATTGACGTTAATGATACGACAATAATAGATAAATTATCTATACGATGCCATCAATTGTTTTACACTATATATAATGGCCTATGCGTCTGTTAAAGACGATTTATGCCGTAATGGTTCGTGAACAGCTCTTTTCGTAGCTGTATAAACTGATACGATTGTTTTATTAGTAAACTATTTATTAAAATAGTATTCATTATATATAGCCTAATGATTTAAACAATTAACTAAACTACTACTTATTTAATCAATTTGAAGGCCTTTTCTCAGCCTATATTATGTTAACATGTTTAACAACCTATTCTGTGAAGATTTCATTCTAATTTCTTCAGCCGTTTTAACGTGTAATCTTAATAAACTGACAAGAACTTTTCGCCAATTTACAGTATTTTAAGATTTTACTTATTGAATTGATTTTTAATTTACATTTATTTATTTCTAATTAAATTACTTACTCATTAAATAATGACGAACGAATGAAGGTACAAGTTCTATCAATAATCTAATATATAGATCTAATATCTGTAGAAGCACATGTACTAATAAAATTAACCACTCCAATTTAAATTTCCAGATAACCCATGCCCTAACCTCGGTAACATCGTTACAATAAAACTATCGGAGAACATCGAAAACGTACTGCAATCTGACGACACCTACCTAACCATGCTGTCAGAGATGCACTTCCAAATGAACTACAACAACGGCCAGTGGACCAGACTAAAAAAATACAGACACATAGACGGTATGGTGCCGCAGAAGATACCGCCCGGCTCCACTGTGATATCAGCCAACAACCAGCAACCGGTTGTGTCAATAGGCAACCAGAGTGTCAGCTAAGGTATCTAGTATTTTAGGTTTTTCTCTAGTATAACGCTGAAGAATGATTTGTTGTATGTCCAACGAAATGCCTTATCAACGCTTAAGTTCTAACATGACGAATGTCAATAGTGAAGAGAAATAGAATAATAGAAATAGAAATATTTTTTATTTAAATGAAAACTTAAACTTTATTAAGTTTATTTACACGTTTTTGTATAAGCATATTTTTTTTATTCTACTCATTACAAGAATAATGAGCAAAAATCATGCGTATTCTTCTTTTAAATAAATGTTCAGAATTATATTTTTAAGAATTTTATACACACTACACTCCTTTTTAATAACATTAATCATATCTACTAGTTGACTAGTACCCATAACAGAAGAGCTTCTGTTGAGCTTAGCTTGGATCCGTATGGCAATGGGTTATTATTATTTTATAATTTGGGACACTTCAAAATAATTTTAATAAATAAAGAATAATCAGTTATTAGTACGAAAATGCAACGACCTCCACTCCTTTTGCATTCAATTGTGTTAGAACTTAAACGATGTTTATGTAAATGCCTTTTGTGTCTATCCACTGTGTAATATAACCTCTTGGAAATTTAAGTAAAAAAAGTATGTAAAATAACACTTCAAATAAAGGTAGGGTGTAATTTCGTTTATTTATTTAGTGTTATTTAAAGTACATAAACATTTAGGATAAAATTCTCTGGATTATAGTGAAAACTGAGTCAAAGGCAGTTATAAATAATCAGAGAATGAGGCAGTTACAAACATAATAATAAATAATCAGAATGACAACAAAGACATTCCTTTATATTACTTATAAATAATGTCATTAGGTCAGTAGTAGCGCTTCAAGAGCACTGTCTGATGTCGAAAAGATATACTCTACCATATATGCAATTACAAAATTACATTAGTACCTATATGGTAGTAAAGCCAATTTCTTTAAACCATATCCACTTGGAGAAGTCGTTAACATGTATCATCTACTTAAAATCTCAAGAGGTTCTACTACACGCTGTTTTAAATACTTGCTGAACAATTGAGATTTTATAAATATAGAAATTACTCCTCTTGTTCATAAAAACCAAAACGTTATAAATATTTTAATTATTAAAGTGTATTGTCGCTTTATTAAATTTAAGAAAATAGCTGGAAAGAAAGTACAAGACAGTTCCATAAATAAATATGTTTATTAAAATGTCTATACAGACATTTTTATACCTGTCTTTCTTCCGTAAAGCAGTTTCGTTTGTACGCTGAATTCCAGTTTGAAAATGAGATTGAAGTCAAAAGAGGGCTGGTTTTCTGTGGAATCCTATTCTTTTGGAATTGCATACATGAACGGTATCACGAGCATGATATGATGACGTGATGTCCCTAGTATTGTTTATATATATAGTCAATGATTACCTCTTACCAGGTCAACTTGTTCTTCCAGTTACATAAAAATGGTATATTTTGCGTCTGGGGTTTTTATGAAAAAGGCAGGTTATTAAATTCAATACAACAATGGACTGACATCAGTGCTATACTACATATTGCGATTTCATATTACTTTAAAGTTCTCAAGTTTGCATATGTTTATTTTGTATTTGTTTACTACTGAAGTAAGTATGTACTTACAGCATCAATTTTCAACAATAATTTTGCTGTATTTATCAATGCTGATATAAAACGTACATTAATAATGAAACATAATAAAATAATGGACATGACAACCTTTTATTTAAATAAAAAATATTGGAAACCTTAAAAGCATAATATGAGTCAATTTTACTTTTTAAATAACCATGTGGAATTAGAAAATTATTATTTATGAAAATTTACAGATATTGTACATTTTTATTTTATTCAATTAAGTGTTATTTTGCGTAAGTACATTTCATTGGTGTTATTTTGTTTAATTCCGCTATCATTGGTATCTTAGAGATCACAAATTTCCAGTTTAACCCTCTGACCATTGCTGTTAGAGCTTATTATTGATCAACTTCCTAGTTAACTACCATAAATCGAAGTCTGTGCACTGTAACAGTCAAGACTAGGTTTCTAATCTATAGAAATTGGATTCTAAACCAGGCAATAGACAATTCATAGGAATTGTGTATTGCCTAGTTTGTGATGATGCTTATTTCCAGAAACACGCGTCGCATGTAAATGGTCGCAAATTTATCACTAATAGGGCTGATGAATAATGTTCTGACCTCCATATTGATTATTTGTGGTCATAAACGGTAATGGTAGCCGAGTTAAATGAATTAATACTAAGTCAACCTGTACTTCAGTAGTGAACTCATAACTAGTTTTTTTAAACGCTACTTATTGGCTGGGGTTTATCGATAGTACGAAGCTGAATTCCAGTACTAGTGTACACAATGCTGAAAAAACATTCCTCAATTAAAAAAGCAGTAAAATTATTTTCACGTTTTAAAAAAATATGTATTTATTAAAACCTGCAGACTGCACGGTCACGTGCTAAATTTAGTATGACAATTTAAATTTATTTTCATATTTCGACTTTATTACTTAGTGACAGCGGTTCAGTTTCGGGTGTACTCTATTTGGATTTTGGGTCCTGAATACCAAATCACATAAAATAAAAAATCATTTATTCATACATTTTCATTCATATATATTAATACATTTATATGTAGGACATTTAAGCCGCTTATGAACGTTATTTTTATTATATATTTTATCCCTGCCGTCCGTCCGTCCTTTACAAACCGACCCTAATCAATATGTAGTGTTTATACATTTTGTTAATGTAGAATTATATTGATTTCTTAACAGAATGGTAATATGAAATTGCAATATTTTTGTAATATATTCGTAATAAGTACTGTTATATTATGTAAAAGTTTATTATTAAGAAATATACGTTGAACTCCCACACGTTTCGTTATGACCAATATTTAATGAATTATTACTGACTGTGTCAATTTTGTACACTTTTGTCCTATTACATTATAGTATAATAATAAATAAATATGTAACAGAATAGTGTACGAAAGTGATTTCTCAAGATTGGTATGAACGAACGGAATTGTGTTCCAATTTTTAATTTAAGTTATGATTTGTACTGGCTGTGAAATTACAGAGAATATTGGCTTAACATTGTTATCTTCGGGAATGGCAACGCATGAGGAGTATTACGTGCGTCATGTAACATGATAATAACGCTCTTCGTGTATGTCGACGACTGTTGTCATTTACCATCAAGCAGGTCGTTAGATCCTGTGCCATTCCAATTACAAAAAAATAGAAGATTAGTCGTCGTAGTCGAGTAAAGTCTTAGTCAAGTCGATAGCAGAGTCAGTATTCATTAAACTGAACAACTTTCGCAACGAAGCGAACTGAAAAACTGATAATTATTTTTATAATGTGGTGAAAATATTCTGTTTACGTGACCAATTTAAAGACTTAAATTAAAGTTCAGATTTCCATTTTGTGGAAAATGGTTCAGTTTCATAAGTTCAGTTTATCCGGCTTGCGTCTTGGTATACCGTTTATGCCTAAATCGGATAATACCCATGTTGTATACGACACTAATTAGTTACTAGATGATATAAAAGAATAGCTTAATAAATTAAAAAAGAAAATTCAATTCCGTTTGATTCTTACCATATCACTTACTTTTAAACGTGTTCACACAATATAAATTAAACTGTTTCCTCAAAGTTTCCGTTTCTGAAGCATGGATTTTGACTTAGTGTTATAAATGCTTTTGTTATTTAAACTTGAAGTGCTTATAAAAAGTACTAAGTTATAGTATAAATATATTATTATATTCAATTAAGCTATTACCAAGTTTGTTCTTATGTAAAACTTGCTATGTTTTTTTCTTTCATCTGATTTAGTGTTATTAAAAACATGTAAAGATAAGTGTCATACGCTGTAATAATGTTAAAAATATTTCATATATATATATATATATATATATATATATATATGGTATAATATTACGATAATAATGATAATGTTACTTTTTTGGAAAGATAAGATTAATATCTGTTATTTACAAAAAAAATATTGAGCTCAAATCAAATCCGTTGAAAAATACTTATTAAAATATTAAAAATAATTTACCATAAGGAAACGCCACTACACATCCTGTGTGGTTGTAGCCCACTTATGCATAAACGAAATATCTCCGTTGGTAATACTCTATACCGAGGAGATAAAAACCATCGCTTCTAAGAATATCCTTCAACTATTTTCCCTGACGGGACTAGGTAGCGATCTCTGAAAAGGGGCGATCACAATACATCTATGTAGGTCGCAGTGCTGCAGGTCTAAATACCTGACAATAGGCCAAAACCTTCAATAAAATAAATATATATATATAATCGGTGAATAGTCACTTCTTGTTGTTTATATCCAGTGGTTCCTAAAACATTGTACTAGCGTATGACACTTACTAAAAAAATTAATAATATACGACCGATAGTGTCTTTAAATGCTAAGAATTTTAAAAAGTGATCTCACTATAGGTGAATGAAGAGTTTACTGTTCAGTATGTTTTCTAGTGCCAAAATAATTTGAACTTGATTTGTAAGAAACATTAGATAGTGTTAGTCGAAAAGGGAAAGCCACTGAACTGAACAACTCACTAACATATATTGAGTTGTTTAGTTTCATTAATAACTGAACTTTACCGAAGAAGCAAAGTGGAAAAATTAATTTAATTTTTTTTATGTTAAATACTATTATCATATTTCCACTTTGTTTTTTTTAAAGTGATTCAGTTTCATTTCACTTTCAAACTAAGCTTTAGTCTTTTAGTTTTTTTCATACCCTTTACGACTAGCTCTGTCTTTTTTCAAATATACATAATATTGCAAGTTTTTTTACCCGACTGCTAAAAGAGAGTAATGTTTTAAGTGTGCATGTATGTTCGGATCTTTGGCGCAACGTGTAATGTAATATGCTTTTGGTGGATTTTAATGTATGAGGTATCGTTACATTTGTCTTAATTGTCAAATTACTGCAAGCTGTTATAATAACAGTGTAAAAGGAAATTATGAACAACCAGAAAATTTTAAGGAATGGATTTAAAAAAAAAAACAGTTGTCTTCATGTGGCTGTACCTGTTTGTTTAGACAAGTATGATAATGCTAAGATGTACACATAAATGTACCTGACATCATACGACCTAAAACTGATATATCATCTCAAACTCACTAAATTAAACTAATGATAATTTATTAAAACCCTATATATAACTTTAAAAATTTACTCAGAAAAAAAAATAGGGAATAGTTCTTAAAGCAAAAATCAAAATACATATAAATTATTCATATAGTACATTTTCTGCCACTGTTATGGACAATTCTATCACCTATTATGCCGACTGTACTTTGTAATTGTTGTTTGTACTGCACACCAACAACATAAGAATATGTTTGTTCCACTGCAAAAGTGTTTTAATTATGTTAAATCACGTAAAGGCCCAACCGTAAATTTCGTCACACGTTAAGTAGGAGTGGTAGGCAGCGTGACATTTTGTGACAAAGTCATACCTTGTCACACAATGTCACTTTTCCGAACGCCTTCCACCGCGTCTTAGACGTCCACGTCTTAAATTTCGTGACGATAAATTTAAACTATTATTGAATAACTACAAAAAAACATAATATTTAATGAATTTTCAAAATATATGTCACACTAGAGGGGGTGGTCTCACAAATGTGACCAGTGTGACATTATCATGCAATTCATGTGAGGGAAGTTATGGATGGGCTCTAAAAGCGTTGCTAGTTAATATGCTGTAATAGTGCCTAATAATTTGTAATAACGACTATGTATTTAAATAACCGATAGCAGTTTTATATTAATAAAATAACGGTACTTCCTAATATATATATATACATATATATAAATATTTACCATTCACAAATTTTGTACGTTTATACACGAATAATTACAATACAAAAATGTCCGAATCCATCTTTTACAAGTGATATTTTTTTTTCATTACAGATTAAAAATATTTTGTTATACAATAATGTAGAAAAGTAAACTGTTTCTGGAAACTTTAAAGTTTATTATCAACAGAGCAAAATGGTTCTTATATTTATGTACATATGGAAGGAAATGAATCGGCGGATATATATTTTTTTATTTATGACATGTTCCCCTGTAAATTATTCAGTTTTGGTTGGAGGGAGGCAGATTTTGTAATAATAAAGATCTGTTTATTTTAATATGCCTAAATCGTTATTGTCTCTAATTATGTCCCATATTAATTTTTAAATGGTCAGATGTGTTGTTCATTAAAAAAAAGTTAACCGTCATAATTTTTAAAGATTAAAAAACTTATTTTACCATTATTGTTTTGTTACTTTTCTTTCGAATAACTGATTTAGATCGAAAGAAAGAAAAGAAACATAGGTAAATATTAAAATTGTTTGAAGAAAACATTTGTGACGATTATGGGTTTATTACACTATCATATATAAGTGGGGTTCTAACATTGCATTTTTTTTATATTTTTATCGTTTTGAAGTAATTTCTTACAACTACAAAGATGAAGAGGAAGCGATACCGCATATATTTAGGTTAATCCTTTAATCTTGAGCAAATAAAAACCATCGCTCCTAAGAATATCCTCCAATTTTTATCCTTTATGACACTGAAAACGCTGCAGGTCTAATAAGCGCCTAGCAATAGACCAAACCACTAAATAAAAAAAAAGAATCATAAACCAGGTAGCAAAACACTGGCGAAGTTAATTTTAAACTTAATTTTTCCAAATAATAAATACGAGATATTGAGTATTATTAAAACTCTTATAAGATATTGTTTCAATGCTAAAACTAATTATTTAATTATATTTTACCATGAAGCTGTGTTTTATTGTATTTATGATAGTGTAATAAGTTCATATCACAGGCTTAAAACACTGCTGTATATTAAAAAAATGGAAAATGGACTCAAAACTTTTAACTGTAAAGTCAATTTTCCCTTTTTTTTCTGAGAATTAAGTTACTGCAGTTAAGCATGCAATAAAAAGATAAACGTACTGATGGGGCTTGTCAGTAAAGCGCGAGTGGGTGTGAAAGTGGAAGGCTTTTGAGAGTGTTGTCTATTTTAAGTATTAAATTAGTTTTTGTTTGTTGTACGATATGTTTTTCTATAGATATTTAATATTCACAGTGTATATAGTAGATAGTACAAAAATATTAAATGAAAACTATTTAAAACAGTTTGATATTTTTATTTAAAACCTCTCCTCAGATTATAAATACAGCGATGGACTCGGTTGTCTAGTTTAGCACGCTGTAGTATTTCTAATGGTCGCGGGTTCGATTTTCGCATGATACAAACTTTTGTACTAATTTATATGATTATTATATATTGTTTGTATTGGTCTTTTCTACGTTGTGTTTACAAAAAATGTGTTTAAGTATATCTGAAAGTTGTCTGCTGAGTATGGTACATCTGCTTAGATTAAAGTTCATTACCGAAAGTATGTATCACTTCAGAACACCAGCACTAATATCCATATTTTTTTGGGAAAAAAATGTCATACAAACCTTTTTTACGTATATTGCACGTTTTGAACACATACAGTACAGAGTCCAAAGAAATACTGTTATAGAAAGAAAATATTTCCAATATCATAGCTACGTGGAAGTGAGAAAGTTTAGGTTATAAAAAATTTAAAGATAACTAGTCTTAATTACAAATATGTTTTTACAGCGGATGTATCAACAAGTTTTCTATACGTATCCACTATGGGCAGGCACCGGTATATTACTGTAAAAAGATAAACAGATTATTGACTAAATAGCTCTATTATTATATATATAAATAGTAGATATCGCTCGGTTACAATAGTACAGACAATACTACTTTAAAAATAGGTAATAGATACTTAACAGGTTTTGTATACTATTTTATCTATAAAAAGCTACAGTACAGTATTCACGTGCGAAGCTAGTACAGGTTGGTAGTATAAATAGAAGTAAAAAATCTTTGATAATATATTATTAAGCTTGCTATCTACATAGTTCGACTGCCTCGGTGGTCTAACGGTTTAGCACACCGCTTTAATTCCAATGGTCGCGGTTTCGATTCCGCGCACGGTACAAACATTTGTATTCATGAGTATGAGTCTCTGTATCGGTCTGGGTGTTTTCTAAGTTTGGGGTTTCTGATTAGTGTAGATATAAAATAAAAGTTCGACTTACGGTTGATATATATATTGTCCCAACACGTAAACACAGTTACACTTAGACAGGAAGAAAGTATATACAGTAGAAGGAGAAGAAAGTCACAAGCACAGTAAAGAAATAAGCACAGAATGAATATAAGCACTAATGAATAAGGTGGTATAAATGAGAATAAGCAGAGCAATATCAATTACAGTACGGCCGATTTATCAAGCGAGTAGCGAGCGTTCCGCGTCATAGATAGTTCTCGACTGGTTTGGTAAGATCGAATTGAATGTGCGCTCGCGCTGTTGGCCGGTTTTTCGGCGCGCTGACTACCTACATAGCGAACAAAAGAGTTGTGACGTCAACCTCTTATTGAGCGTTTCCACTGCACGCTGCAATTGTACTAGACGAACCGGTACGGTTTAATATTGATAAAGTGTAAATAAATATTACGTATATATTTATGTATAAGTATATGTATATTGTATATAATTAAGGTTATTATTATTAAATAATTATATGTAATAAATATTTGTAAATAACTGTAAATAAATTTATGAAGCTGGGTATTTATGTGTGGGAATCGCCTACACCACCCCCACCAGAGACCGTCAGGGGCGATAAAAATTTGTAAACTTCACACGCCGCCCAGAGCGAGTGATACGGTCTTTGTGAACTTCAGGCTGGGGTTCCTCGTCTTGTTCTCTAAGAATGAAAGCCGGTTTTAATCGGTCTATAGAAACCGTGATTATTTTTGTGGAGTATTTTAAAAACTTTATCTCCTCTAGTTAGAACCCTATGTGGGCCGGAGTAAGCGGGTTGTAGTGAACCACGTGATGCGTCCTCACGTAGGAAGACGTGATCACTGGTGGTTAATTCCTTGTGGATGAAACATTTTGTGGTGCAGTGCCGCGAAGCGGGTACCGGACGTATGTTTTCAGCAAATTTTCTAAGGCGAGCGGAAAATTCTGATAGTACTGTGGCCTCAAAAAATTCGCCAGGTAGTCTTAACGGCTCGCCGTATACTAATTCTGCCGACGAAGCCTGTAACTCGTCCTTAAATGCGGTTCTTACACCGAGCAAGACCCACGGCAAGGATTCTGTCCACTGGTCATTAGCGTGACATACTATTGCCGCCTTGAGTTGCCTGTGGAAGCGCTCCACGAGACCGTTGCATTGTGGATGGAATGCGGTCGTCCGTTTATGCTCAAAACCAGTCATTTTGGACAGACTTTATTTATATTAATGGGTTTGATTGGTTTTCGCCACAGTCTCCGCAGTAATGTCTTGTATCGGTACTGCTTCCGGCCATGAAACGATCTACGCCAGTAAACAATACCGATAGCCTTTGGCAGCGGACCTAAGATCAATATGAATCTGAGTGAATCTCGCCCGTGGTAGTTTAAAGTTGGCAAGAGGGGAATTGACGTGCCGATTAATTTTTACACGTTGGCACGAAATGCAGACGCGTGCCCAGTCCCTACAATCTTTCCTAACACCTGGCCAAACGAACCGTTCCGCTATTAATTTGGCGGAAGCTTCTTGTCCAGGGTGGCTAAGGGAATGCAGGCTATTAAAGACTTGCTTTCTGAAGGGTTTTGTTACAAAAGGCCTGGATGTCGCTGTACTGACGTCGCAGTACAAGGGTAAGCGACTTCCAGGTATATGTAGTTTTTCGAGGCATAAAGATGATCCTTCCTCTATGAGTTTTGCTAACTCAGCATCGGTGACTTGACTTTGGGCTAAGAGGTCGAGATCTACTGGGCTGCTCAATTCATCAATACGCGACAGAGTATCCGCGACGACATTGTCCTTGCCGGATATGTGCCGAATGTCGGTGGTGAATTGAGAGATGAAGTCCAGGTGCCTATACTGCCTAGGCGAGCAGTTTGTCTTCCTTTCGTGGAATGCAAAACTGATCGGCTTGTGGTCAGTATAAACAATAAAGTACCTGGCTTCGAGCATGTGACGGAAATACTTTATAGCTTCATAAATAGCCAGTAACTCACGATCGTAGGGGGAATATTTTTCTTGGGAAGTTGTTAACTTCCGGGAGAAGAAAGCTAAAGGTTCCCACAGATCGTTTTTATACTGCTGTAAGACAGCACCCAAAGCCTTATCGGATGCGTCCGTCACCAATGCTAACTTAGCACTGCAGTCTGGGTGGGCTAACAAAGCTGCGTTAGAAAGTCCATTCTTACAGGACTCAAATGCCGATAGGGTGTCACCTGATAAATTGATTGGGTGTAATCCTTTTACAGCCCCAGTCAGCAACGCGTTTAAAGGAGCTTGAGTTTGGGCAGCTTGAGGAATAAATCTCCTATAAAAGTTGAGCATGCCCAAAAATCTCCTTAACTGACGTACGTTGGTGGGGGTAGGGAAGTCCCTTATGGCCTGCACTTTGGAGTCCAGTGGTTTGGTGCCATGCTCGGAGATATTGTAGCCTAAAAAGGTTACCTCTTTAGCTCCGAAGACACACTTGGACGTATTAACCAGCATGCCATAGTCTTTTAGCCTCATGAATACCTTACGGAGGTGATCCTCATGCTGTGCCTCGCTCCTGGAGAAGATTAGAAAGTCGTCGAGATAGCAATATACGAAATCGAGGCCTCGGGTCATCTCATCGACAAATCTTTGAAAGGTTTGCCCCGCATTCCTAAGACCAAAGGTCATGAAGGGAAATTCGAATAACCCGAATGGCGTAGTTATTGCTGTCTTCGATATATCGTCAGGACTGACAGGTATCTGATTGTATGCCTTCACGAGATCCAGCGTACTGAAGACTTTACAGCCTGAAATGCTGTGTGAAAAGTCGTGAATATGCTTAATCGGATACCTGTCAGGCACTGTACGAGCGTTAAGCAACCTGTAATCCCCGCATGGACGCCAACCGTTGTCCTTCTTTGGCGCTAGGTGCAGAGGCGATGACCAGGGGCTCTCCGAAGGCCGGGCTGTGCCGCTGGTGATCATCGACTGAAATTCCTGTCGCGCTATTTTAAGTTTATCGGGGGCTAGGCGACGGGGTGAGCTAGATACTGGAGGGCCTGGTGTCGTGCGGATATGATGGACGGTGTTGTGTGGTATTGTGTGATGTGTACCAGCTGGTCTAGTGATATCTGGAAACTCATCAAGAATTTTATGATAACGAGAATCACCAGTCAAGACCTTTACAGAGTGAACATTTTTACAATCTACAGATGTGGCAACAGAAAATATAGATGTAGTATTATCTATCAGCTTTTTATTGCGGCAATCTACTATTAAATTATAAAATTTTAAAAAATCTACTCCTATAATAGGTTTGGTTACATCAGCAACTACGAAGCGCCAACTATAGTCTCTATGCATACCAAAATTTAAAGTTAAATGTACATAACCGTATGTTGATATAGTTGAGCCATTAGCTGCACACAACTCGAAGTTAGTAGGGGCACGACGGTCACGCAGCGCCGACCGGGGGAAGACACAGAGGTCGCTACCAGTGTCGACCAAGAACTGTAACTTCGAAGATCGGTCGGTAACGAAAAGGCGACCAGTAGTAGAGGATGGGCAATCGTCAGCCGCCATTACCGACTGCCCATGGAGTTTCCCGCCATTTTAAAGTCACAGGGGTGGATACAGTGGCTGGCCTTATAATTTACTGTGGTACCAGCAGATCGGGAATTTGCGGTAATTAGACTGTGACCGCGATTTTGACCGAGATCTACTGCGCGTGGTACGTCGAGATGGTCGTTGCTGGTGCTGTTGCGGAATGCCTCTATTAGTCGTCAGCGACTGCATTTGCCTACGAAGCTCCGCGACTTCCCTTTTAAGGTCACTGAGGTCCGTATTAGAGGAGGCCTGGTTCATAGAAGCTACCCTGGGCGACACTACAGTGAGGTCGTTTACCCGGTCTGCTAAATCTGCCAAGTCATCCACGTGAGTAGTGGCCGGCTGTCCCGCTAACACCGTCTGGACACCATGTGGGAGACGACTGATCCATATGGTCTTTAGGAAGTCGTCCGGAACGTCAATACCAGCCAGTCCCTTTAAATGGCGAAGAAATTGGGAGGGCTTCCGATCTCCTAGCTCCTCATGCATCAACAACTGCTTCAGCTTATTTTCGTTTGATGCCGTCAGCCTCTTGATGAGCTCAGCCTTGAGCTTGTCATATTTCTGCGTCGCGGGAGGACTTATAATAATATCCTTCACCTCTCTAGAATATTTATTGTCCAACTGGCTGATGACATAATTGAATTTTGTAGCGTCGTTGGTAATGCCGGAAATTGAAAATTGTCCCTCCACCTGAGCGAACCATATTTCCGGTTCTTCGGGCCAGAATGGTGGTACACGGACGGATACTTTATAAACCTCCGCTCCGTCGCGACTTGCACGGGAAAATTCTCGTCCGTCAATATTCTCGTCAGAAGTGACAATGGAACTGCGCTCTCCGCGTTCCACAGCGCCGTATTGTGTGCCTTCTTGTGCGTCTTGAAATTCTTTATTCATGTTTAAATACGGGGTCACCAGTTTGGGGTTTCTGATTAGTGTAGATATAAAATAAAAGTTCGACTTACGGTTGATATATATATTGTCCCAACACGTAAACACAGTTACACTTAGACAGGAAGAAAGTATATACAGTAGAAGGAGAAGAAAGTCACAAGCACAGTAAAGAAATAAGCACAGAATGAATATAAGCACTAATGAATAAGGTGGTATAAATGAGAATATATCAATTACAGTACGGCCGATTTATCAAGCGAGTAGCGAGCGTTCCGCGTCATAGATAGTTCTCGACTGGTTTGGTAAGATCGAATTGAATGTGCGCTCGCGCTGTTGGCCGGTTCTTCGGCGCGCTGACTACCTACATAGCGAACAAAAGAGTTGTGACGTCAACCTCTTATTGAGCGTTTCCACTGCACGCTGCAATTGTACTAGACGAACCGGTACGGTTTAATATTGATAAAGTGTAAATAAATATTACGTATATATTTATGTATAAGTATATGTATATTGTATATAATTAAGGTTATTATTATTAAATAATTATATGTAATAAATATTTGTAAATAACTGTAAATAAATTTATGAAGCTGTGTATTTATGTGTGGGAATCGCCTACAGATATAATGTATTTACAAAAAAAATGGTATCTATCTAAGTATTTATATTAGTTGTCTAGTACACAACAAGCTCTGCTTAGCTTGAGATTAAGTAGATGGCGCTGTGTGAATTGTCTATGGGTTCTAATACTCTTTGAAGCAAAAGTTGTGTGTTAGCATAGATATTCGGTTCTCTCGGCCTACAGCATAATTAACTAGCGTTAAAATATATACATATAGAACAAGAAATACCAAAAAGGTATGCGACTTCCGGTACAAAACTGATGAAGCTCCTGAGACCTTCCCTATTCTTGCTGATGAGAAACTCTGCGATGGTGACCATAAAACCCATCACGACGAAGCCCAGCATGTACCACAGGTATACTTGAACTAACAGCGAATTTTCCTGTGACACATACCAAGGAAAAAGTTAGGACGCCGAAGATAAAAAAATACAATAAATATGTTATAATGAAAATTATAATAAAGTAATTAAACATTTTAAATTGTAGCGCGGTGGTTATCACATTACCACTATAGGGTTACATATCATGTGATGAGGTGTCACTACTTTACATTATTTTAGTCATTTAGGTAGTATCTAGGTAGTGAGTATACAGATGGAATAATTCAACTATATTAGGAAGTTTATTTGATGTTCTACATGGCTTATTAGTAACGCGGATTCGTAACGTGGATTGGCTTGTACTGAAGGTAAATCTAAGTTATATAGACGTAAACAAATGGAAGAGTCATTTGTGTTGAAGGTATATATATAGGTACAAAAGTAATTAACATTATTTATATACATATTAAAATCAGAGGCAAGAACGGAGCAGTGGGGGGTAAACTCTGATCGGCGAGTATACTGTGAGAAATCGGCCTCAATTTCACTAGACACACAAGACGATCTCCAGCTCCTATAGTGCCCCTGATTTCAAAATTGTATTTAGACTATTTAAACAAACAGAAGTGTACTCACAATTCTAATACCGACTTACAATAAGAAGTATATGAGCACGTTTCAATACTAGGCATAAAAAATATACTAACGAGAAACGAAGCCAGGAGCAGCAACAAGTTTGCCATTTGGAATAACGTCACGAGCAATAGTTTGACGGAGTCAATCATAGCGCGTGATGGGCAATGTTTTCTAGATGATTCTGTTGTCATCATGTCCACCAGGGACCCAGCCTGTTTGAAATTAATCAACATATTACGCCGACCCCAAATAAATGGGATAAGGAAGAGGCAGATGATGATGATGATGATGATATGATAATTTCTGAATATTTTATAATTGTTGCAAAAGTTGTTTGCAATTTCCATTGCGTTATTTTAAATAATGAAGAATGTTTACTTTTGTAAAACAGTTAACATATTTATTAATATGTTAATTGTTTTACAAAACTAATTTGTCTATTTATTAATGTCAAAAACGAAATTGAATATGTTTTACCGACTCCAAAAAGGAGGAATTCTCAATTCGAATGTTGCTGAATATTTGTTATTGACATACATAACATACCATACATAATATAACATACATAACTCCGTCACTAAATCGATTTGAAAAACTTTTTTATTTGAAAGTGGACCACTTTCAGATTGTTCCCATTTTTTTTAATCGGTTATTTTGTTAAAAATGTTATTATTTGCGAATTGAATCTTATTCATCTTTCGGATATTAATTCGAAAACTTTGAACTTTTCTGTCAGTACCTACTTAAATTATAAGAAAAGAGAACTGGTTTTGTTATGAGGAAGGTAGTTTAAAATAGACACATCAAAGTTTTGAGAATTTCTTGATTTTTTGTTTCATAGGTATTTCATTGTTTAGGTCTTCCTGAGTGACAGACTTTATATACAAAAATCATAAAGAAAAAACAAAATGCACTACTATTTCCTGAAATTCTTAGATTCATAATTTAGATATTTGTGTTAGGTATACCTACCTATATATATTTGTGAAATTAATAATACCTGCAAATAACGAAAATATCTACATACCAAACTAATAAGAGATATCATTACAACAGTAATTCTTTTTGATAAACAGCAGCAGGAATTATTTTCACATAACATCAATGTCATTAGATTGTCCATTATCCAAATATTGCAGTAAAAAATGAACATATACGAATAGCTAATTACACAATTTTACTTGATAAAATCATTATTCAAACATTTATTATTCCAAAATATTGGTAGGTTTGAGTTAATATTTAATATACATATTGTTGACAAATAACACCCACATCATCACTTAACATCAGGTGAGATTGCGGTCAAACGCGTTCATTTTAACATAAAAAAAAACCTGTCAAACTGAATGTACGTCGCAAATGAAGCTTAAATCAATAAGGTCCCTACTAAACATAAAAATAATATATTTATTCATTTAGGTAACTCCGTACCTACGAAATGGATTATCATAATAGGAACTGATACCTAGGTAAATTATTTTTAAAATAATAAAAGAAATATTTTATACTTTTATACTATTCAAGCAACAAAACTCTAATAAGACGATTGGATACTGTCCATTACAATCATTTTAATTTACTTTTTAAATTATCAAAATTGCTCATAGACAATAGATACGAATATATTCTTTGATAATTTAGAAATTAACAGAAAAGAAAATGATCCGTAGAATTCATATGATTTTTTATTTTTTGTCGACTTTAGAAATTACTCAAGCTTGCCAAGAAGGTATATTTATTTATTTTGTTTATTTATGTGTACATTTAGTAGTAGTAGTACTTAGTATTTAGTAGAGGCTTTGGTCATCATACAGACTAATATTGTAGGTAAATATACCGCAGCAACGATGTATACAAAATTAAATCTCCGCCATTTTGGGTTCTTATCGACAGACTTATATATGTTTTATGGTATTATACTCGCCACTTTTCGAAGAGCAATACAGACGTGTTTACTTTTCTTGATGTAACTTGTCGTCATTGCAATGACGGTTAACCTGATGATGTACATATGCGCGTGTCATCATTTGGTAGGTATTTGCCATGCGTTATTATTCCAGAGGACTAGGATGTCATGTCTCCTTATCTAGTATTTCTTAATTTTAAAGAATAATTTGCTTTAATTACAGTTGAAACACCAAGCTCTATGATACCCGTCACAATATCGTCAGGTACAGACGTATTTCATGATGTTGATTTAGAAAAATCTATAGCAAATGTAGAACAGATAGTAGCGGCAGCAAAACAATCCTACGTAAAAGGCGCTATACCCTTAGATGAAACTGACAAATTGTACGATGAAATGGTAAAGAAAATACACGATATTGTAGTAATGATGAAGAATCCTAACAATGCTTATAAATTCTTGAAAGGAAAAGGTATAGACAGAATAATTATTTTAAATATGGACGTGCCACATGAAAAATTAAGAACTCAACTTTTGGTATTATTAAATACACTTTTCGACATTGCTCCAACAACTGCTAACGCTGTAATACCAATAAATGTTGTAGACAAATTATTAGATATTTTCGAGAATGAAGACAATTTGGCACTAAAAGCGCACGCATTAGACATACTTTATGTATGGTTACCAGAGAATCCTAAAGTTCAGGCTAGAGTAATGAAATTAAAAGGCCTAGAGCCATTTTATCACCAAATTTCCAAGCTAGACACCAATGTCGTCCACACTCTGTTAGATCTCTTCAACAAAATCGTTAAAGAGCATTTGGAGATTCGTAGTAATATTCGACCAACAAGTAAAACCGATTCAGACAAATTGATTCTATATCAGAGAATTGGTTTGATTGAACGTTTGTCCACAACGCCTGTTTGTAACGGTCTGCTGAATATATTTCAGACTACGTGGTCTTATTCAACTAAAGATAATGATATTATTGTACCGATTCTAAACATAATGACTAAGGTAAAACTGTTTTGTTTGAAGAATTTTCAAGGCAATCCAAAAGCATTAGAATTATTTAATACTTTACTGAAATTTGTAACAGATGATAAAACAAAGGAATATTTAGAGAGTTTTAAATTGAACGCGAGTGAAATTGAAACGACTTTGGTGGAGTATGTTAATTCTTTAAAACAAGTAAACGATGAGTTGTAATTATTATATTTTAGGTACTTTAGTTTAGTTAATAATTATTCAATAAAAATTAAAAATATATTAGTATATTTTAAACAGATTCTATATGGAATCTCCGGCTAATACGCTCGTAGGTACAGCTTATAGTTTTTAGTGGGTAAGAATCCCACACACCTCATCACCCCCTTAACGGGGGCTATTATTACCTATGTGAACTATAACAGCAATGTTAACAGTTTTATTATAAAGTAATATTTTAATGTAGTTGAAATAAGTAATGGTAAGCCGTAACCGTCGTCTATATACATGAACAACACTACGAACATCGTTATCATGTGACACCCGCGGTACCACTCAGGCGTTTCCATTCCAGAGAACTAAGATGTCATTATCCCACTATTTCACTGCTTAAACAGCATCTTACAACGAAAACATCGCTTCCAAAACAAGTTTCTTAGCGGTTGAAATAGATGAGACTGAGGTGCCCAAACAGACATTTTACAGTTGATGTCTAGTAAACATAACTTGATAAAGTATCTAATACGTAATATAAAATTCTAGAGTGTTTATAACAAAACTCCCCCGAAAAGACTTGACCAATTCTTATGACTTTGGTATATTCAGTAGGTCTGAGAATAGAACGTAAACTATTTCTAATAACCCCTAAAGGATGCTCAATCTCAATCTTTTTTTGGAACAATAGTTTGTGTTTTATATCGTTTATGTTTGAGCACTAAAACATACAACTCCACATTTTCACCCTTTGTCGCGTGCAAGCAGCAACAAAACTTAACACAAAAGGAGCGTTGTGATTAGAGCGCACACGCATCCAATTTAAATTCGCTACATAACGTACAAACTTTAAAATTCTAATTCATCGAGGCAACGTACTTTTGTTCACTCAACCAAATAGTAATGTACCTAATATATTCAAGATAGCAAACAAAATCTATAATTTCTACACCCCGTAATCTGCTGAAACCATCAACACCTACCATCTATCATTCGAGCCGCATCACCACATACCACTCTTCTACCATCAAACACAATTTTTAATAGCAATATTAGTACTTTATATGGCAAAACAACGTTTGCTGGGTCAACTAGATACAGTAAATAGTTTGATATCTCTGATCGAGTCGTGAATATAAAAAATGTCCCTCGGTGTGGTCTTATACATATATAAACCACAAATAATTTCGATAGCGCATTGTGTAAGCTTCTATTTAGGGTTCAGGGAGTTATACAATACGCGAATTGTATTGTGGATATACGGACGTATCCACAATTGTTGCAATTTGATTTATTGGGAACATGAACATGTTGATTGGTGAATGAAAGTGTTTCTATTAATTCGCATAATGGCTTTTGGTTGTACGAAATTCTCAAACTACTTATATTGATTATTACTAATATCATTAGCATATTTTAAGACCAGACATATTTCTTGCGTATACTAGGACATACGTATATAATAGATGTTATATCTCCTTAAATATCTATAGTAATAATTGAATAATACGGTTTAATTTATCATCTACCTGCTGCTCTCCAGTTTACCCGTGATAAGCTGGAGTAACGAAAATTTATGAAAAATAATAAAACATGGAGAAATTAGAACCGATATTGTAGAAGTGAAGGCCTCCTATATAGCTAACATTTTTTTATCGTGTGGAAAACATCTTCAAAAGACCCTCTCCCCGCTAGAAGGGTAACAAGGGGATTTGTGCGATTCTTACTCACTAAAAAAACTACACGGTGTAACCTACAAGCGCCAATGCCGGAGTCGCGAGGTCGCATTAGCACCATATAGATGGTGTAGGGCACCTATATAGTTAGTTAGCACAAGTAAAATAGTAATAATCATTATTATCATTATTAAAAATCATAGCAATAACGTATTATTGCAATATCGTCTCTGATTTGAAAATCTTTTGTAGATGCTTTAAATACTTCTTTATACTTTATCTGTGGTTTCTGGTATCTGTTATTTTTTAAATTGACAATAAATAGATTGAATTGTGTCGCTAATAGATATTGTAACCACAATGTATTCACACGACACAGGACCGTGGATCAATGATCATTAATGCAATGACAAATCATGCACCATGGGTGGCCGCCATTTTATTTTGTGTATGCTTCCGTCTTCCGAACGGAAAGTTGCATCATTAATTTAATGAATAATAGATTCATATGATTTAGATATTTATTGCGTATACAAATTATTATATTTGTCCTAATAATATCATAATCGAAATATACTGAAAGTAATGATAGGAATACTACTAATAAAGTGGTATATATATTTTTAAAGGATGACGTGATGTTGTTTTCCGTACATGTATAGGTATAACCACTAGGTAGGTTACATAAGATGAGTCGTAAGTTTGCATTCCAGCTATATTAATTATATTAATTATATATATATTCCAATAAAAATACGAAATATTGTTAACATTGTTATAGATACAGATATTATTTTTGACAGAAATTGTTACATGCGTAATAAAAAAAAATAGTACTATATATATATATATAGACACCACATATTTTTTTAATAAACCAATGCGTGGGAGTTTTACCAAGGTGTCTTAATAAAAAAGTTAGGTCGACTAAACAAACACAACGTGTCAAATCGATCATGTTTTACGCATCACAAAAAGGCGGGCATTCATGATCTGTCAAATGTCAAAAAGCGCGCCAACCTGCGCAAATGTGACCCCCTGCATAACCAATTGCGCTAAAAGCCAGGTATCTATTGCGTGAGAATAAAATTGTAACTTTTTTTCCTTTTTGAAGTTATGAATGAACATTGTAGTGTAATGACCACGGTAAATAATCCTATTTGTATTGTAACGCAATTCTTACCAATCAATTGACGTTACGTGTAGGGTAACCATTGTTAATGGTATTTCTTTCTATCATGGAAATTATAAAATAGTATAAAAAATCTTTATCACATTTTGAAGCTGTATCATAAGAAGTACGAGAATGAAACTTGTGTATTGTTTTTTTCAATAATTGTTTAACTTTACATTTTTAATTTCAAATGTGAATACAAACTACCAATTATCACAATTTCATTAGAGTCAACATATTAAATAAAATACCAATTGGTTGAGCAACTAAATAACAGTAAATCAGTCGTAGTGATTCCTTAAATTAACTCGTACTATAGTTAACATTATTTCCTTGTTATTTATATCATTATTCATACTTATTCCTATTTGCATATCATTACCTACCATTTCCTGTAATTATATCTTATATCATCTTGAGGCATTTTCTCCCAGTCAACTGGGCAAACAGAAATTCATGTGGGCGGTGCATTATCAAAATTTGAAATACAAATGTAAAAAAAAATATGTTTTAGTTAACAAATTAATTGTACGTATCTTCTATATGTACGTGTATATTCTATCTGTCTATCTATCTATCTAAACTTTTATAACTTGTTAGGACTATCCACGGTTTACAAAAGCGATGGTCACATTTATTAGACAGTACTACAACTCAGGTAGCTAAGTTGTAGGCGTGAGCCACCTGACCGAGGTTCCCAAGCCGGTCGGACCCTCATTGTGATAGTTAACTATTTGTTAATGCTAATTTATTGCCGTCCGCTACACTAAACGCCAATAACTGATGCCTTGAAACTATTTCATTATACATTTTAGAAGATACCAGAAAGGCGACGGGTCTTGTACTCACAGATTAGCTAGTTTTTCAATTTAATCTCTAATAAAAAAATAATATTAAGAATCCGCCAAATGTGCTACCTTTTGTATTATTTACATTGAAGTTAAGTAAATAAATAAAAAACAAGTAAGTATTCTGCATAATTCAATTCATTTTTCTAAGATTTTTTTTTAATTTGATAAAAAACCAAAACCGTAAGGTTCCTACGTATTTGAAATATAAATGAAATTACTGGATAAGTGGCAAGACATTTTAGTTCTCTGAAAGCAAGGAAGATAAAGAGTCGTATTATGGTTGTCACTTGATGACGTGATATCCGCACATGATGACTTTAGAATCTAATTGCATAAAAAAAACCTAAGTGTATCTTAGTACCTAGATGTGGGTAATAAATATATAATTTTATTAACAAGTAATGTATAGACAAGTATAAAAAGAAATAATAATTTAATATTATACTGCATAGGTACTAATAGTTAGTACATTATTTAGACAATTTTCTTAATTAAGCAAGTTTAATGTAAATTTTAAACAAATATTTATCCTATCAATTTATTTCATCCTATGTAATAAAAATAAATTTTATTTATCTTGGAATTTTAGTACATAAATACATTAGTATTTACGAAAGCACTATACAAGTGCGCCTTTCAGTTGTATAGTAGGCAAGGCTAGTACACAGTTATTATAAAATTAATTATAAATTATTAATTCATTCTTAATTTAAGAGCTACGCTCGGTCGGTGTCCGTGGAGCTCTTGCCACTTTCCGCAATCTTCCATCATGCTTTTTAATTCTTAATACGACACGACTCCCATTTTAAATTATATATATATATATATAAATTAACTCGTCCTCCTGTATTCTCTTCCGCTTGCTGTGCCCAACAGTGTCCATAATTGATCTACTTTTAATTATACCTATCAATGCTTTACTGTAAAATGATGGAATGCAATGCTTAAATAAGTAAAAATATATGAAATAAAAATTCTGTTTTTTCAACAAATCGTCCGAATGTCACGACTATTCACCCACAAACAATAAATGTTTACATTGATATAGGTCATTAATTTTGTCGATCCGCGTTGAGTTTCCATTCAGTCCAGTTGCCACCTGCAAATGCAACAAAATCCCTTTTTTATAACCCAATATAAGTATGATAGCTACAATAAATTATCCATTCAGCAAATTTGTTCGAATCGTAGGCGGGTTAGGATTTTAATAAATAAAACACATATTTGTCCGGAGATCAAAAGTTTTATCTTAAAAAACCGGCCGGTCACACCTATGGCGGGTATGTTGACCGATTTTTTTAAATATTCTTTATTGTTA